TAAAGAGTTGACGTCACTCAGCTCATCAAATTTGTAATTTACATATATCCTTTTGAGTTTTCAAATAAATTAAGGGTTTTGATCGGTGTTTAACTCAAATTTCATATCATCCAAGTAATACTTCTAGTGTTTTGTCACCAACACAAAGGCTAATTTTTCTTGTTTAATCGTGTGCTAATTTTTTTCTTAAGTCATTAGTTTTCAAGAATTGAAAACAACTTGATGCAATCCATTTTTCCATTCTTGTTGAAGTTTGTCATCCATTGTTGTACATGATGCGTAAGTAGTCAACTTGATAGAGAAGTTATGATCATATTACTTGAGGTTAGATGCGTATAACAAAGCATCTTTCAATGCTTGAAAGTATAACTCTTGAGTTGTTTCACATCTCCATCTTTGAATTTTTTCAAGCATGGAAGTCAAGATTAGAACTAGACGAGTAAAACCTTTAAAAAATGTACAATAGAATCCAATGAGCTCTTCAATTGAGTTTGATACTCACGTGATGTTTATTTTTGAATGATATATATATTTTCATTCATTACTTGAATTGTTGTGCCTTGTAACTTACTATAATATTCTTCTGATATGTCAAATTTACATTTTGAAGCTTTGACATACAATTCATTTTTTATCAAAACTTGAAATAATTCTTGTAAATAAAATTTATGATCATCAAATTTTTGATATAAATCAATATATTTTATAAAAAAACAAAAATAGACTTATCTAGATAAGAACAAAATATATATTCCATCAATATCATCAGTTTAGTTGATGCATTTAGGGTTTAGATTAAATATTTAAAATGGCCATACTTAGTACAAAAAGTAGTTTTGTGGATATTTTCATGTTCAATTTGTATTTGATTGTAGTCGTTATTTAAATATAGCTTGGAGAAAATTATATTGTTATAATAAATTGATCAAACAAATCATCCATATGAGTTAATGAATATTTATTTTTCACTGTTTGTTAATTTAATTTAGTATAGTCGATACATAGATTTGTGTATCTATACTTCTTGTTCACAAATAACACTTGAGTTCTAAAAGATGAAAAACTTGGTTGAAAAAATCTTTTTCTCACTATCTATTCCATTGGAGTTTCATATTCTTCCAATTTTTTTGAAGCCATTCCATATGGAGTTTGCAAGTTGGTGTACTATATCATTTCAATCTTGTGATTCATTTAACTCTTTGGTGATAATACTTCAAGTAGATCATTTGAAAATATATCTTTATACTTTATAAAATTGAAATTGAAAGACTCGGGATGTAAAATTTGTTCGTATATTCAATATCTCTTATGAATTCAAAGATACACACATCATTTTTAGAAAGTTATGCTTTATCCATCACAAATAAAAGTAAATTTGTATTCTGAAATCTAAATGTATCTCTATAGATCATCCAACCATTACTTTGTAAAAACCGCAAGTATGCAAGACAAGTTAATAGATAATTTTGGTTTTTCAAAATCACTTCCTCAATTTCTTCATAGTGTATCTTTTCATGTTATTGAAGAGATAGAATGTGAGCCATACTCCTTGACTGTTGGTCGGGTTCAATAAAAATTCATAATGTGATACATTCTTCCACATACATAGCATTGACAATTATCACGGTACTCTTCAAATCATTTCATTATTTTTATATACTCTTATAAATTTGGAAACCTAGTTGTTGAATTTCACTTTTCAATCATGGGCTTGGTATTCTTGCTTATGCAAAAATTTTGTTTACGTCAAAAATTGTCCAAATTCATTGGTGTAAAGTTAGATGGATACTAAAAATTATTTACGAATTCACCGTGTGTGACACCATAAGCGTCCAACATTTGTTGAGCAATTACAATTGCTTCATTCACAATGGATGGATTGCTTAACATCACTTTTGAATGTGATACTTCAAGCGTTGTTTGAATACAACTAATACTATGTTCCACTCATATTCATGATAGATATTTAAAAATCACAAATTATTGAATGTATTTATGAATATTTTCTATTTGTTTCAAATCTCACAATCTCATTATTGCAGATTGAAGAGACTACACCGCTTGAAAATTCCGTAAAAGTACATCATGCATTTCACTCCATGAAATGAAAGCATATCGTTTTAAAAACATTCGTTTCTATGTTGTGTACCATGTGAGAGCTTTATCCGTAATATAAAATCACATGAACATTCATACAATATAATAATCAACATAAAAATAAGAGCAAAAAATATTTATACTCATAAATCATTTCTTTAAAAATCCAATTATTCTATTTTTTTTTTAAATTTCACATTACATGATTTTCCATTCAAAATAAAAGATTTGCTTGATTTTTAATCTCTTGAAATAATTTTCTATTTGTTTTTTTTTAATCAATAGAAATTGATTCTTAATGAATTTATAAAAGTTTGAACTTGAGTTTCATCTTCATATCTCTAAGTGTTTATCTCTCTATTTTATTATTTTCCAATGTAAAGATTTTATTTTTCATGGCTTGATGTGTCAATATACTATCGTTTTTTTCAACTGTTTTATTTTTGTCATGATTATAGTAAAAACTCCATCATATCAATCGATGTATTATATTTTCTATATCTAATACAAAGTAAGTATGATTATTATCTGAACTTTCAACACACAAGTCACGCAAGGTGTAAATGATTCTATAAGACATCTATAATTTTTTTCCCTATAATTTAAAAAAAAAAAACTCTCCACACATTTTTTTGTCAATATATTATTTTAATATCTATATAGGTGTTAAACTGTCTTTGTGTTGTTGATTTGCGATTTGACTCCATCAATGTATATGGTACAATCTCAAGTCTCTACATAACTAATCATATGAAACATCAATGACATTTTAAACATTATTTTAGATGTAAAATTTGCATCCCAAAAAATCACAAGATGTGTCCAAAAATGATACTTGTCCTTACGACAAAGATGTATATAGAATATGTTAAAAATCAGCCACTGCAATATTGTAATTCTTGCTAAACACTTGCATAATTGCAAAAATCACAATTTTCCTCTTTGAACTTCTCTCTACATACAAATCAATGACATTTACCAGTATTTATGTACTCTTAAAAACTATATTCTATCATCATTTATTTATTATTGCATAAAAAGTACATATTAAAAAACATTTAAAGAAAAAAAATATCATTTTGATTCCATTGTAACACTAAAATTTAAAGAAAAGTTCATTTGAAAATAAAACTATAAACTTTGAAAACAAAAAATACCAACAATGGTTATGTTTTCATTTATGTAGATATTATCAACAAGTACAAATAGATAATTTAGCATTCCCACCATTCAATACATTCATAGTGGATGACATGGCGGATAATACTAACAAACTCACGAATCGATGACGTGACATTCTCAATCAATAAACGAACTAATACATTTAATCTTTACCTAACAAGTTCATGGATCGATGACGTAACGTTTTTAATCAATACACGAACTGATACATTCAATCATTACCTAGCAAGCACACATATCGTTCACGTGACAACTATGAAAAATACATTTTAAACTAATCATAATTTCATCTTGAATAACCTTTATTTTAGTTTAATTAACTAAAGATGTTTGCAACTTTTAGTTCAGGAAATAATTTTGTTGGCCTTCACTTTTATTGAAAACTTACAATTGACATTGAGGAGTTTCCAACTTCATTCTTCAGACAAAATAATTTGTAAATTTGAAGATTTACTTAATGATATGTAAATTACCGAATGATGATTCAAGTGGGTTTGAAGGATTGGGACGAGTAACTATTCTAGACAAGTCATAATTATTTTCCTGGTTTTCCACACTTTGCAAAATTGTGCAAACATTTAAAGATTTGCTTTGTGAAATTTTAATTACAACCAAATGTCATAGAAAATATAACATTTTATTATAGCATAAACTAATTTTAATTGTGAAGAAATTAACATCTATTCATTAGGATTGTGCTAATCCATGATTTGATTTTTTTAGATTTAGCTAATTTTTTGTTAAGATGAATATTTCATTCACAAAACATCTAAGGTTTTTTTTATTATGAATAAGAAAATGTTTCTTATTTGTTGTATCACCAAATAATATATACAACTTGAGTGTTCTAACCATCATTCCATGAAGCAAATATGTTTTATAGTTCTTATTTATAAAATTAGTAATTTGTGAAGATTTATCATCATCCAAATTTGTGCAAGAGATCTTATCTCCCGAAAATCTATGGTAATATGATATTATTGTTTTAGAGTTAATATGAATAAATTAGTTTTACACTATGTACATATGTACACATATTTCCCATTGTAGTATATTCATTTTCTCTTGTCTACACTGACACACATCGAAAGTCATCGAAGTAAAAACATACAAAGATACTCATGTGATAATAGTCTTCACATCTATTACAGAATTGTACTGCAGATGCTTCATTTAATTTTACATGTGTGAAATTGACTTGAATGGCCGAAAATACAATCAATTTTGTATGAGAACATTTACCATTTCTAAATGTATATACCTTAACCAACTTCTTACTCTTAAATTATCCATCAACCGAGTCGAAGAGTAAATTTTGCAAGCTCTTTGATCTCAAATGTTTTGACCATGGCTGGATGTAGGTTGTGCAGTGAGATCCTGAACTGGACATTTCTGACATTCAGGAGCTCCAAATGACTCAAGAATAAGGTGTGTAGTGTGAATGATATATTAAATATCATTAATATACAAAGTTGTTCATACACAAGCAAGGGAAAAAGGTTCCATACACACGTGACTCTCTGTAATCGGCTCGAGTGACATATTTCCCATATGCAGGAAGAGTGCGATAGAAGAAAACTCGTGAGTGTGGTCTGCTCCAAATGAAAAAATGAGAAAATGTGCAGGCTCGAGTCCAATTCGACAACAGAAACATGGAACACCTATGAGAACACTACAGACAATCTGTTTTGAGGACTTATAGCGTGAGACACACAGCTACCTTGAAACCGTCTCTCGATTTATCTCCTGTTTGATTGCCCCATAGAATGTTACATTTGGTGCTCATGGAATATAACTTGAACGTTCTTAATAATCAAACAAACAGACTAAAGTTTCCCGTTACCGCTACCCGGTTTCACCGAGCGCAGATCAAGAATATAAATAAATCATCTCCATTTCACCCCAGATAGCCCACCTTACGATTGAGACCTTAGCTTTACATGTTGGAGAAGATCTTGCCCGAATCCAATAAGGATATAGTTATAACCTGCACCTATTCTTCCTCTTCAGCTGAAGTTAGGAGAATTGTCTGCAATGGACATGAAATATAGCCATCATGTAGACATATCCACGCCTGCATTACTGGGCTAAAACACTGCCTTCCCGACTATAATTCCCTTTGCTTCTCGCCACTGGTCCAAGTATGTTCACTAGGAGAAGGTGTGCCACACACGTTCTAGTTTCCATTTCAGCTTACTACAATTAGGTTTCTCCCTGCGGCGGTCGTCTGTCAAGTTCAAGACAGACAGCTTACAACTCATTTACTCTCCACCAGGTTTTCCGAGGCTCACGGAAACTGAAACACCTTCATGTCCTTTCACAAGTATTGAACGCATTGAAAATTGAAATGTATGGAAATCGGTTATAGGTACTCAGCGAGCGTGCGGTATATATTTCCAGCAAGCATAACCAGGACACCAGATATAAGAGAATGCTCAAGGTAAAAAATAAACCTTTCATCTAGAAGGTGACCACGCATTCAACTTCACTCCACACACACCTTCAGCATTCCTTTCTTTTAGCACGTTAGGCCATCACTTCAACTTTACTAAAGGGTGGTAGCTGAAAAAAATATCTGAGCTAAATCAGATTCTGCGATACATGCCCGATTTCAATTTTCCGGGCGATATGTCACATACAGTGCGATCACACGAGATTTTGTGGGCGTCCGCTTTTACAGTGGTAAAAAATGTTGAGCACCGTTCCCGTTAGTCATCCCGCTCCTGACCGACTGACCTGACCTGCACGACGTCATCCTTTTCCCTCAGAAAACGACACATGAAGTAGAGACAGAAGAATTCATATGCATCTCTCCAGAGAAGATCACCCCTATAGAAGACAGGCACTGAAGGAACGAGAACAGCCACAACAAATAACCAAAAACAGCTTATCAATCTTTGCGTAAGAGCTGCCTTAATCACCATAATGGTTCCCGTTCGCTGTTTGCCTGACGATTCTCGCCTTTACCAGTCACCTGCAAGCGATGGGTGCTTCAGACCAATTCGAAAAACACAGTGACCTCCTCTAGCCAATGTCTCGTCAAGCTTTAGGCAATAATTCTTTCAAAACCATCCAGTCATGGCTTTGGCTGACTGTATTGACTTGTCGAGGTAGCAAACCTACCTCACCCTCAGCAGGAAACCAATGCATTACTGTCCCAAGTTGCATAATTATTGGTATAGCTTTGAATAGCAAAGGCGTGGTAACCTGCATGTAAACGTAGTCCTCTGATTAGAGTTGCGCATTTCATTGATTATAGCTAAACATAAGCACAGAAGACAATGCCCCAACTGTCAATTGTCTCCACGCCGATGAACCCTGACTAGTAAGATCATTGTAAGATGCAGTGAGTCGGTAGCACCGAGACTGATAAAGAGCTTCAGCTCGAGCAGCCTAGAGAAACTCAGACCATCGATTGGCCTGATTTTCGAGCTGGAACCTCATCAAATCGTTTGTGAGAATCTGTGATGACACAATCTAAAGAGAACTTTGAAAAGATACAATTCAAACCCGGAAAAGTAGAAATATACCAGACTGAGGGCGGTGGTGCCCAACAGCAGCAGATACAGCTTATTCTGAAAATGAGCGCACACAAGTTAGTCCAACGCGATTCACGGTGGGTTCGACTACTCATCCCAGCTCAGTACACCATTCACAGCACTGTACTTCTTGCATTGCATTGCACTAGCTGGCCTGAATACTCACAGAATGCAAAGATCAATGCAGAGTAATCAAGAAACATACCTGGACAAGGTGAAGATTGGACGCTCGGCTGAGCAACACAAAAGCGAACTCCCCTATCTGAGCCAGGGACATGCCAACCTGAAACCACCATCCAGAAACTTTAGCAAAGCGCCTCCAATCTTCAATATCGATGCCCACGAAGCATTGGTACAAGGATTCAACTGGATAGCGGTCGATCGGAATCTTGTAACTCTTCAAAGATATCTTGCTAGAAGAAGAAAACTCACAAAGAATGCCGTCTTCATGCTATAACCGAAGCTTCTGACGACCATGGTGACGACAATTGTTTTCGCTGTAATGACAAGAATCAAAGACGCCAGAAGAATATCCATATGGGACCATAAAAATTGGACATTTATAAGCATTCCTATGCTTGACAGGAAGAGCGCTGAAAACAGGTTCCGAATAGGTTCCACCTGTTACAGATGAAAAAACATTACTTGTATTATACAACAAATCTGTGGCAGGTAAGAACAGTGAAATCATCAGCTTTGTCGGACTTAGTTCTTTCTCTAAGAGTTGCTCCGTGTTCAAAACAGTAGAAAATTCAGAGTCCACTTGCACGACCGTGATACCTGTTCGAGTGTGTGCTGCGAATAATCAGTGGAAGATATCATCACTCCCGCCACAAATGCACCCAGCTCTAGACTGAGCCCAGCCTTGTCACTGCACTGCAAGTTGATATTACCAACGTCATATGAGATTCTCAGCGCCCCTCGAGTACTGATCCTAACCCTTGCAACAGGCCATCAATGCACCAACCAGAGAAGCCAATGAAAATTGTTTTAACTTACCCATGCTACTAAAAGACAAAAAGCGACGGCTCCTAGTTGGTAAAGTTCATTCGTCTGCGCAGTTGACAGCCATAACAATTACAAATGATTGAGTCAGGCAATCTTCCAATTGAAAAATGGTGGGCAAGCTTGACCAAACAACACATCGGTAGTTTGACTCATTTGCGGACGATTTCCACATCCCATGTCCGTAACTACAGCGTCAATAACAGCCTGAATAGTAATACAGCAAAGATGTATTGCACCACTGATAACTGGACACTGGAAAAATTGCGAGGAGTCTCACTTGAACCGATAATTTCATCATTAACTTGAAAAACTGGGGAACAAAAGACCGTGACAACAAAACAGCAATAGTGATGAAGGCTCCCAGCATGACCAGTCTGCGAGATAAGCGCCACAACAGAGACAAAGGTGAGAAATTCTGCTCCATGCTTCATGTGGCACGTAGATAGCCATTTCCCATTCTTGCAAGTCCCATGTTGCTTCCTCAGGCTGATGGAACAAATCCGAACAAACGGAAAGGAATAGAAAAGAGAGAAAGAAATAAGGAAGACTTACTAACGAAAGAACGAACGTGAAGCCGTCCAAAAAGAAGCCGTCCAAAAAACTTACAGACAATTTCCACCAATGCCACAATGACAAGAACTAATGTCATTTTATTCGCAATAGAAGACAAAACTTACTCTCGAGTCATGGAAAATAAACCTTGTAATATCCCATTCTCTCCTCCTAGTACCGGCAGGAGAGCAAAAAGCAGACCCACAGCACAATCCTGCGCAAGTCGAAACCAGTTCTTACTAGGATTCTCCATCACTGACTTTTACTTCATAATTCGCACTACGAAGCAAATATTGCAGCGCAATGCAAGAAGTTTATCACGGAAAAACTCAGACCTGAAGGATAAGTGTGCCGACAGTGATCTGGCCGTGCAGGGAATTAACTGTACTCTTGTCTCCGATAAACTTTAGAACCTGCATGTCCATTCGATACCAAACCAGACATTACAAAAACGCGGTCGATCTAGAGAGACCAAAGAGTCGTTATCTCCCGCATTCGACGTGGCAAAATCTTTTGCTGGCAAGAACAAATGTGTGATCGAGTTGCTAGTGATTGCTCCCATGATTTTTTCAGCAGATGTAACCTTGCAAGACCATAAATCACAAACCGCTCTGACCATGATAAGTCTCCAACAGCCAGACAGTCGTTGCTGAAGTTAATGGAGACTAAATACATACTCTATTACTTCTTATACAAAGAGTAACCACCTTGCAGTCTCCGAAATCAGAGAATCACAAAACCTACTTTGAAACATAAAACAAAAAAAGAAAACTATACCACTGCTGTTGAAGACATAGACAGGAAAGCCCCTACGAATACACCTTCTGAAAGCTTAGCTCCACAAAACTGCGAAAACCAAGACAAGCACAAAAACGTCATGCTTTACAGTTGTTAAGCAGCGTAGATACAAGACTGAGGAAGCAACAATCGAAACACCCTGCTTACACTCGGCACAAGTTTGTTCTTTGCATATTTTAACTTTGAAAAAGACAGGACAACTATACGGAAAAACTCACCGCCGCCGTAATACCGCAAAGGCCCATGAACAGGAGAATTTGAAGGAGACCGCCGAATATTGCAACGGATCGAACGACTCGCAGCTGCGTATAGCCGATTATAATGATCTCACGTCATGTGGAAGAAAAGTAGGAATAAATTGCATTTGAAAACATTGATATAGTATCTGACATTTTAAAACTTTAAGAAAACGACACTGACAACGGTAAAACTCTTACCTTTGCCATAGAGAATTCCAAGCCAAGTGCAAAAAGCAAGAACACAACACCAAATTGTGCAAGAGTTTCCACCTGTAATTACACAGTTACCCGTGTCATCAACGGTAACCTATTTTTTCCAAGATTAGAAATTATTAGTAAAAAACACGAGTTCCCTTCAAGATGGTTTTGACACTTGAAGGGTCTACGATCTTCAGGCTTCGATAGGCACACACCAATGAACGCATTTTCAGCTTTACAACTTAATAGTTATTATCTGGTCCTAGAGACAGAGCAAATCAAATAAATACATGAAAACTTTGCTATCGCCTTCATCCCTGAAGCTTGAGAGCTTCCGCATTTACCTGAACCAGCTCACTGACAAAACTGAAGCCTCCAGGTCCTATGGCAGATCCAGCCAATAAGTACCCGGTGATTACCTGCAATGTATAGCCAGAAACTGTCAAAGCAGATAATGTGCAACCTTCCATATTTCTCCAGAAGGCAGACCTCAATCCATGAGAAAAATGTGTTGAAAAATAACTCAAAAATTTCGTCCCAAAACAAATAAAAACGGTGACTACGAGTATGTATAACTACGACTAAGTTTGCTGTCTCACTCGTTTCAAGCATTAAAGAAATCTCCAGAGCCAAAAGGCGAAGACTTACAGGCTGCCCAAGGGAGGCGAAAATGATACCACCCACTGCGGCCGAGACGATGACCACCACCAGGTCCGATATGAATCTGCCGTTCATGCAACTCACTTTAGCCTAAAGTTTCCCCCTCTAATATGATTCAAATTATATTGCTGTCCAACTTTGTCCTACTAAAAATAATCTTACATATTTAATCATTGAATTGACTTTTATCAGATAAACGACTTTATTTTGTAGTTTGGATCTCAAGAAAGACCAAACTGTAGCGCATAATATACGTAAAGACAAATTTGCTAGAGCCGTCCGAGACGCAGATCGACGGTCTTTGAGTATACCTCAAATCTTGCTGAAGAACCATATAACCAGATCTGGGATTTGACATAACAAATACATTATCCTGAAAAAACGAAGAAACACTCCCGTCAATTGAGAACTCAAGTTAGTTGACTCATTCTAGGACTACAGATTTCAGTAGAAGAACAACATAAGCCCAATATCTGATACACTATAGAGACAATTCCACTACCAGAGATACGTGGTCACCTCCTCAAAATGTTAAGTAAGTTTAGGAAGACTGGGAACCATGAGCTGGTTCTTTATCAAAGTTCACACATCTCCTTGACTTTCCTCGTGACAACAATCTAACTGAGAGAAATATTTTTAATTATGACCAGCTCCTGTTGCTACTCCCAACCTTTTTATCGATGAGAGTGGGCAACTCCTCAGAACCGCTTTCTTCGAGATTTATGAGGTCTCCGAGTTGGAATGATTTCGATTTTTCACTGAAAAAAGGCAATATTCACAACTTCTTAGAAAAGAAAAATCAAAAGGCGTGTTCTCCAGACGTCTTGCTCAATATAACAGAGGAAAACAACAAACGCCTTCAATTTTTGACAACATTGCCGCACAGTTAACAATCCTTAACAGTGCAGACCTATAAGACCATACAAAGTTTATAGATATGAACTTAGAGTTAAAGTAAGATGATAGCGCAGGTAATACTGTTACAATTCTGAGAGTGATTTATGGAAGAAACATCAAATACCAGCAAGGATTCAAAACGATTCTACGAAACTTGAAATGCTTCGAATAATTAAAATCCTACAACGAAAATGGTCATGAATCTGATGCGAAATGCAAATCATGACTGATCGGCACAGACAATCGCTGCAAGTTTTGAAGAAGGAAGTGATTATGATACATACTGCTCCTCTTCTGTCTCGTTCTTCTTGGGCTTGTCATGCGTCACCCTCGCTACAGTCTCCAACACAGCCTACAACACATGCGGTAAAGCTTATATCAATGTGTCGAGTAGAGAGCTTAGGGTGAAGACGAAGATGCCATTTGGATAATGGCATATGTACAAGATAAGCCTTGGATGCGGAGGCTTGCAAATGACACGTGTAGGGTACATGTATCTCCTGATTGAGTACAGTGAGATGAAGGTGGGCAACATCAAGAGTCTGCACCTGCTGATCAGCAACACTGCTGTTGAAGCTGCTCCCTACTTCTCCCTCGGTTCCTGCAGGAAAGGCATAGAAATAAGATCCGACTGCTAATTTGGGAATCCGAAACCGTGTCTTCTCAGAACGGTAAGCGCAATAAGCTAACAAACGTCTCGTTGATTGTTTGTGGGCCTCCAATTGTAACAATGCGGGTGGCCACGGGGCGAGATTATGAAATCAACATATACACAAGTTGGGGCTCAAGAATTTAGCGACTAGGAACTTGGGTACGATGTTATCTATCTATATATCATAGTCGTTCTTACGACTGTGACATCTGTAACATGTTCTGAAAGCCATAAAAGCCAAGAGCGTAGATGGAATTCGTCTGAACGAAATAAGACAGACGATACGCACGACATCAACTAGTCTCAAAGTAGCCTTGGTAACCGTGTTTGTGGGAAAGATGGATTAATTCAAGATCTGCGACCGAACGCCAATCTACTAACCTTCTTGAGGATCCTTGTCAGGAAATTCCTTGTCTAAGACGCGTTCAAAAACCTCAGCAATGCTGCTGTCCTTGGAAGCCTTTGGTGGCTCTCCACTCTGAGTCCCATTTCTTTCAGGTAGTCTATCTCCATCAAGATTGACATCGAAATTGTCCAAACCCGCCTGAGCCCCACAACGGCTCGGCAAAAGTATACAAGCAATGCCCAGCACAAGGACAAACCGAATTATCAACCCCATCGACGATCCTCGAAACGTCCGTTTCCCACTGCACAGTCTTCTCGCAATCCCCGATCTGCAATCCATTTCAAAACACACCCGTACCCTCTTCTAGCCTACACAGGGAGGATCAATAGCAATAATCCTCAGGCCGGGCCAGGCCGGCCAATGGCCTGTTTGTCAATTCAAAGCCCTCAGCATGTCCAGCCGAGGCAGCAAGCACTCTTCGCATGATCGCTCATCCCTCTGAGCGTAGGCGGGCATCTTCCAGTAACACCGGCAAATTTTCCTTTTCCTGCCTCCGTTCCCTTCACTTCTCATCCTCCCCCACTCGGTCTTCCTCCACTACTCGATACTTCGCACCAACCTCTCTCTACGCAACAGCCAATCGAACACCAATTGCCTCAACCGTGTCATCCACCGGTCCAGTCATGTACACGGAACAGATCATGGAAAAAGCAAGGAGGCCACAATTCCTCCCACTCTTCACCAATCGATCCCGTCCCGTCCCCTGCAAAGGCAAGTCACATCAGCCAGGTGGTACAAGCCGTGCACCAACCTCTTCCTGTCCGCGGACCGAGCGAATTGACCGCCCTTACCGACCCAACAAAACAAAACAAAGCCAGCACCAGTTTCTCACTTCTTGATGGCCCCCCCGCCACGACTTCTTCCACCGATGGACTCGGCGGAGGAAGGAGAGGCACAAGAACCTGTGGAAGAGCAGGGAGGGGCCCTCGGGGCAGGGGGGGAAGGAAGTAAGGGCGGGGATTTCAGCAAGAGAAGAAGCGGAGAATGGGCACGTGATCGAGAAGAAGAGCGGCCTGTGTGCGGACACACACATCCATGTCCCTCTCTCACGACCACGAGGCCCGAAATCTCAACGGCGGAAGCACAATCACAAGCGAGTCCTTTCTACTCCACACTCACTCACTCACTCACTCACCCGCCGTCTGCCTCCGATGCGCAGCCCAGATCTTCTGCCCAATTCTTTACATTATTCTGGCGATTGGATCACACTCGACGACGCCGAACGCACTCATCTCAGGGCGGCGGACCTAGCCTCGGACTCGGCGAGCAAACAAACAAAGCGCGAGATCCCCCGAGATCCCAATGCCACACTGCGACATTGCATGCATCGCGCTGCACGAGCGAACGAGAGGCGAGCGAGTCAATGAGTCGTCCGTCGGCTCGGAGAGCCTCGGACTCGGCGGGCACTCCAGCACCGCGTACGAATTGCCACGCGAGTGAGCCCGAAACTACGCCTTCGGTCGAAAGCACCGCTCCCTTTCTTGCACTGCAATGCGACTGCGAACAGTAGCTCCGGACGGAATGTCCTTGGAACCTGTCAGAGGGCTGTCATGTACGTCGGCCCTGTCCGGTACTCGTTCGGTTGTCGTCTAGCGCGGAGCGCTCTGCTCTCGCTTTCGGGCGAAAGAAAGCTCCGGACTTCCGAAGATGCGATTTCCGACGATCCTGTTCTAGCGCAGCGAGGATCTTCAGAGCACAATCCGCTGACCAGCGCTGGCTTATTCACTGTTCCACAATTCGGTCGATGCCATGTCATTTCATGTCATGAGTATAAATTTGTTTCTCGGTGCGAAATCCATCTTCACCTTCGGTCCAGGTGAGCCAGATGAAAAATCAGCTCCAGGGAGTAACGCAAATGCGATGTTAATGGAAATGTATGGAGCGTTTCAGGATATGCAGGCGGAATCTTTACATAGAGCGAGGATTATTTTATGAAATGTTCCACAAAATTCTGGAGCCGGAGTCAAATGTGACGATGTCGCATTACGAGCAACAAGGACACATGGTTACGCTGTTGTGCGCACAAGAAGAGTCACCGTATGTGCAAAAATTGCGACAATTCAGCCACTTAATCTTTAAAAAGTAAATTATTCTGGAAGAGGTCTATGAGGGCTGTTGCAAACGCAGTTTGAGGCCAAAAATATGGCTGAAACTATAACATCGAATCATTTGACGTATCTTCAAAATTAAAAAAAAAAAATAGAACAAAAGAAGAAACTGTAAAATCTTGAAAATATTGGAATGAACACAGAAACATGTAATAGAGTAACAAAATAAAAAATTACTGAGAGTTCCATATTGAAACGCCCTAGTGTCCGACTTAAGAGCTGCGAGGTGTGGCGACGACGGTAAGTGTCATGTGAATTGACAGCGTACACAGTTCAACTTTAGCACTGAACTCCACGACGCTGCCAACCGCGCACAAACGTAACGCCCAACGTATATCTTGTCGCTTTCGGTGTGTGAAATCGTATTCTCGTATGGAAGGAAGTATTTCCATATAACTCTATTTTGTTGTGTCCGTCGGTCCGTGCTAAGTACAGTCGACAGGGACAGCATTTGGACAGAGTTTTGTTCCTTCGTCCCTGGACTGACATACGGACAGCCCAGCCCGTAGGAGATCGACTGTCATAAAACTGTCATGTATTAGTTGCTCATGTGAATAAAATATACGGTTCCATTTAAATGTATATATACTGTAAGTGGCTTCTGCCATTTTACAACTTGTACAATGACTGAGCGTAAAATAAAAAACAAAACAAAATTACTGAGCGTCTGGACTTTCGCTTATACTGTATTAGGATCTTCTCCCAGAGGTATAGAGTTTTGTGATATACCACAGTTGACATGAATATTAGAAGCTTGTGCTGAAATAATATAGATTTGTTTTTTCACCGGTAGGCACCTGGCTGCGTACGTTATGGTGTGAAAATGAGCTGCAGTTATAGACACATATTTTTGTCCATGATCATTACGTGCTTTCTGAGCTTGCAATCTGCAATGATTGTCCACCAACTTCTATTTTTTGTGTGTTGTGCGCAAAACTTTATGGTGGGTGTCCATGCAATGGTACAGCATGGAAACTTCTTGCCTGATGTAAGCCACTAACTTATCTTTTGGATTTAAGAAATAAGATATAAGTAGCAAAATGCATGGTACTACCCTGAGACAATTGTGGGAGCAAAAGCGCTACATGGATGAAACCAAAGGAATCAGATAAAGTTCAAATTAAAGTTTCAATGGGGAGTAGGATGGGACTTCTATGATTGGGGTTGCTAGCTACTGCATTTTCCTACCGAGTTCGCCACATGAATTGTAGTACATATCTTCGAGCTGGAGATAACAAGCACGAGGCTTTCGACAGATGTGTCCGATGACTTATTCCTTGGGTCGTGCAGACAAAAGAAATGATTATGATTTCTCGCATCTCGAATTTGTGCGTTAGGCGTTAGCAGTACAATACAAGACTTTGCACGTGAATTCGGAGCCGAATAAGACTTTCATTTGTACCAATATATCATTCCGAAAATAATGGTCTACTCATTCCACCGCCTTTTAAGCCTCATTGAAGAAAATCCTCACCAAGCACCAAAGTACAATAGTCAAAAGGAAAGAAAGTACAGTAGTGAATAAGATAGAAAAGGGACCCAAAGACCACATGAAATCTTCACGGGAGGAAACCAAGAGGTCAGGACAAGACTTGGATTCAATATCAATATATTACATATATTTCATATCTGAACTTTTTAGATCAAATGGTATGAAGGATTTATTATAAAATCACCATAGTTGATACTATAAGATGGAATGTATAGTAATGTAGTTATTATCTGTAAGTCAATTGAAATTAATTAGCTAGAACATGTTAAACATTGTTATAAAGAATGTGAAATCATTATATTGTGAAGTAGTCTCTCAAGCACATGTAAATGTCCATAGATGTAAAATTGTGAGATGAGTTTACACTAGGGTGAGTTTTTTTACATGTTCTTGTAGTTGGTAACCGTGACTGAAGCATCCAGTGAAAATACTTCAACCATGGATTCAAGTGTAGTAAGATGGGTAATTAACTCCTTTTCAAATATGTATCTATTTGGACATGGAAACCCAAAGTCCAGAACAGTAACCTATACTCTCAAACTAGAGTACTTAGAATTCCAGTTGACTAGAAGACACACCAAAGGTCACTTCATGTGAAATATTTATACCCTTGTCTCAAATTTTTTTTTAAAATTTGTGTTATTTGAATGGATGAGAAATACATATAACCAAATCTTTGCTCAGACACTAAGGTGCAAATAAGCGCGAGGAGAAAACCTTATGAGAGGGCCCACATGGATCTCAAAAACGATGGGAACCCAAGTCAAAAGCTTATAATTGATTATTATTGATGGGGAGAGAAGGCAAATACTACAAGAAGTAAGATCTCGATACAAGAGCGAACAAAATTACATGAGCATAGAATAGACTTGGAGAAGATCCTCGTGGACATCAGAAACGACGTTGGAACGGCCAGTGGCAAAGGACAGGACACAACATCGAATTTGTCGATTATTCCTTCCACGATTACAATAATGCACTGAATGACGATAATGGCGGTCGTTCAGATTTGGCTCGAAATTCTCAGAAGCTGTAGAGGCTTCTGTACTAGAAGCAGTGACGACAGAGAAGCGAAAGGCAGCTACTGGACATGGAGGAGGAGGACGCCATCACTGCCACTGATTTTTTCCCAGCACTGTTGGACTGTCCTACCTCGGGCACATTCCTCTATCCCTCGAGAGCAGGACAGCCACTGGCTGTCTTTGACGAGGTCATCCCACGTTCTTGGACTCAAATCTTCTGATCAGATTCCGGATGTCCTGTGTTTGCTCATCCGAAGGTGTCGAGCCTGTCAGTTGGAGAACCATCAGGCAGGCAACTAACTGCACAATGGATGAGGAGGAAGATCCCTTTCCGGGCAGCACCTTTAATTCCCTTCATATCAGTCTTATGAATCGGGTATTGGGACTAGATTGCACAATCTGGGTCGTGGTTTGTTCTGGACGAAGATTACATGTCACTACGTCTAAGGTCCTCAGTGTACCCGGAACCTCTCTCCCTCTCACCTCAATCTCATATTATGACGATGCAATTCATTCTCAAATCCTGATTTTTTGTTGATTGACATTCACGTCTCCATCGTTACAAAAAGTTGCGTCTCAGTCCGTTACGCTTGAGGCCTCCGGAAAGTCTTCTGGTGGAGCGAAGTTGATCGGCTGGACTACTTGAATCTTCGAACCATGCGTGAAGCCGAGACAGTATTGGGTGAGAGTTTTGGGGAATTACTCCACCGTTTGCCGTAGAGTTTGCACCGGTCTACAAACTGTAATTTGCAGTAGAGAAAATGTAAACGCTAGTTCCCATGGCAATTCAACAGGTGATGGATACTGGTGTTGTCTATTTTCAAGGTCTCCGAGACTGAGGTGTGTGCGGCATGAGGTCCTGATGGAGGAATAAGGAGAAACAACAGAAAAAAATTATGTGACCAGTTCTGCACTCTCCCTGCGTTCTTCTGTTGTTGTTGATGTTGCTGCTGCTATTTGTTTCCATGTCTTAAATTCTCGCCTGGATCGAAGACACTGAAAGCTGGAAGTGCTTGTAGTGGAAGAAAACTCTTCACGAAGCTAAGTTTTTGAGATTCCAAGCGAGAAGAGATAAAGCCTACATATCTCTGCATCTCAGATCCTTAGCCGGACATTTACACACAATTTTATCTGCCTCAATCTCATATCATGACACTGAAGCACATGGAACTCATTACTGTTTCCATGCTCGTAAGCTCACTTTCGTCGGGTCATGCGCTGAACACGGTAGGCACAAAAACGTCGATGGACATGTTTCATAGGTAAATGATGGTCCATGTGTGGGTATATAGTACAATCCAATAACCAGCCATGACCTCCTCAAACTCGATGGATCACCTCGGTACGTGCCCATGTCCTGGAAACCACCACGTGAAGAGGTGTTTGTCTTGCTGTCCAGGGTTTCACAACCCTTGCTCAAGATCTGCTTCTAGGTTCACCTTATTTGATCACTTGGGCGAAGCCGTGTTGTATCTCTAAAACTACTTCATGTACTCTTCGGGGATTCAAGGGACAATGTCTGAATATCTGATACTGCTAGTTTATACTCATGGCATGCAAAGCCGAGCCCACTTCGCTCGTACGAGGATCTTCTTGTTCCAAACTTACTCCTTGTGGATCCTCAGTGATCGGGAGACTCAACACACCTTTGCTACTCCAAGCTTCCTGCACACGATTCCGGGCGTCTTCGCCCAGAGTGACTGCAAAAACTGCATCAAATCCTCCAGCCCCTGGGACTCCGGCGAATAGAACACCGTTCATACTCATGGTCTGATCCAAAAGTTGCGTCTGAACTGGTGGCTCGAGCTGAAAGGGCCAAACAAATGCAGACGGAGAGGTGAGGAAGCAAGTATTCTGTCAGTCTGCGAAAGTACATTGCTGTGGCAACAGTTTCAAAACCAGGAGATTCAAACTAACAAGAGTGAAATCATAGTACTGAGGAGGCGTGAATCACTTACTGGAACTTCAGCACCTTCACCCATTTTTCGCATCAACCCGCGTACAGTTTCAAAAGCAGTTCTCGTTTCCAGCAGTGCTTCCACTACTGCCTTTCCTTCTGAGGTTGTGTCGATAATTGTTTGCCACTGTCCAAAGTCATATCATATAGTGGAGTCAGGCATAAGGAGAGAATAGGAAGTGCTGCCTGAGCAGTTACTCTCCGATCATGGTAGAGGACGATGACAAACGACAACCAAGGGAGGAATAGAATTAAGCGGAGGGAGGCTCCTACACAACGAGCAGTTGTTGGGGCGCAAAACTGTGACACTGGTTTCTCCAAATCACATCAAAGAGCAAGCACGAAAGAGAGCATGCTGTCTGAAACTCTTAACATTCACGCAAGGTGGTGTCGATGGTGGCACCTGGTCCACTGGAAGAATGCTGCACAGCTCGAGTACAGTTGTATAGGTCTTGCCGACTGATTGCGCTAATGTGTTGAGGAGTTTTAGTCCGGCTTCAACTCTGAGATTAGCTTTCGCAAGACTATTCCAGATTTCGTCTCTCTCTGGAAGATTAGCCTTCCGCCACTTCATCACAGCTCCCACCAGGGATGGAGTGTGTGATCCACCGTACCCAGGTTCTCCAATGATCTACCCATTCATAAATCGTCAGAGATGTTGCATGAAGATGATGACATGTTGAGCTATTGCACTTTAGCTTCACAGAAGAGAAAAGAGGACCATTTATAAAAGAAGCAGGTTCAACAGACTTACCAGGGTCAGATGCGGAGGTAAACCATAAGGTGTTCGCTCCCCATCCCATTCTTCGATCATCAATCTTCTCATCTTCTCGACAAAAGTCTGCCGGCTGCTTCCTTCCTGCAAGTAAATGAGGGGAGTGACATAATTACATGACAATTCAGTAAGGAAAAGCTCAAGCAGAATACTCAATCAGAGGCTGAATAATTTCAAAGTTGTCATACCTGGGATGCGAGTACAGACGGCGAAAATCGAACGTAGCGCTGACTCCCATATACAGCTGCACTGACATCGAAACCACTCCCGATCTTTCCCTGTGCTGCACAGTGAGCAGCCTGAGATACAGCATGAACCAAGTCCAAGTGTTGCCTCAGCTCAACGGTGTCCGTTTGACCGCTACCATGAAGTGGAAGCTTCACATCACTCAGATACTGAAGAACGGCTGCAACAACGGCAGCAGTCATGGCTGCTGAAGAACCAAGACCTGTCTTCGCCACCTCTGGCAAAACATTGGTGTCACCACTGACAACCTCCGTTGGATTCCTTGTGATGGCCGAAAATTCAGGCAGGGATGTCAAAGTTTCAACTGTAAGTGGTAGTTGTTGGGCTTCGATCTGTAAACATGAGGAGGTAAAATATGATCAGAGAATGTAGCCTATTGATGCCAGATTACTTCAAAACAGCGCTCCTCTTACGAACTTCTGAATGGGTTCAAGTGCTACTTTACCTGCTTTCTGAAGGAATAGAATGAGTTATTCCCCAAAATGGTGATCTCCAAACCTGATGGCAAGGGTATCAGACGAGCCGTGAGATGCTAGAAGGAAGGCAACTGAATAACAAGTATCGAACAAAAGGAGTGTTCCTACTTTCGAGGACAGCTTCCAAGATAATGTAGTCAAGATACACACAGATTCATGCTCTTAAATCGATCAAGTTATCACACAACGTACACTTGATCATCCTCACACTACGGTAAACAATTCATGATTCACTGTGAGCTTGTCCGGTATCAACCTTGAAGTAGGAGAGGATTGATTGATCCAGCACCCGAACTCGAGGCCCTTGCAGCTGCCACCGCCACAGCCATGCTTACTGCATTCTCCACAAAGGGATTGCCTCCTTCACTGCACAGTCGAAGTACGGGAATGCTCTTCACTATTTGAGGGCTTCCCCTGGTTTCATGATACCCAACACATCCTGTGACAGTTGCGGCGATACACCCACCCACAAAACCTTGTCGGTTGTTCTTTCCACAACAGCAAGTTTCAAAACATAACTCCAAAAGAATCTTAAGCCCCGTATGGTCGCGAGCATGAACCAGAGGCGAAAGAAAGGTTCACCTCGGAGCAACATTTCTGAGGCTGTAATCTCTCAATGAGAGCTTGTAGTTGGTCTCCTTGAAAAGCTGAGGAGAAGAAACTTTCACATCGGACCAGGCCTGCATCGGAGACGAATTGAACATCAGGACAACCGGCCCAAGCTCATAAGAAAAAGCAGGCGGCATTGCGTTAAATGATAGGAGTACGGATGGACTGTAGAATCTATGCTTTGAACCTCTAGGCATTGAAATGCAATTCCTCGCGCTGATCGGTAACAATCCACAGAGTCCCAATTTGTAAGCAGACTGGAGCAAATTCCTCTTGCGACGAAGATTCTGCCCTGCAGATGTAGCCTAAGGCTCGAGGTTTCAGGTTTCAACCCCCAAATCATATGTAGCGCAGAGTCACAAGGGCGGAAAGCGAGAAATCCCGACATGAACACCGATCGGATAAATCGGATTTCACGTACAGAGCTGAACATCCACAGCTTGCAGATCGAGCTGGAAAAAAGCAACGAATGAATCCCCGAATAAATCCCAGAAGATGACGTCTTGACAGGTAAAATACAGAACTCACCCACGACCAGCTATCCGGGGCAAGAGTTTCATGGATAGTTTTCACAATAGCGTAAAAACGTGCAGATGTAGAGAGCACGAGGCCGATATTCGGCTGTTCGAGAACCAGGTAGCCTCCAGTAATCAAAACCTTCCCGGGTGCAGACACCACCCTGCAAAGAAACCGTCATTCTGTGAATCAGAGACCGCAAACCTCGTCAGGGAACCCGCATCACAGACAACTCATAATCGTGGCGAATCTCCTCGGCATCGACCACAATCGAAGCAAACATCACCGAGCAAAATTCTCAACTCTTATGACAGATCTCACAGCTAGCTGGCTGGCTGGCTGGCTGGCTGACTGACTGACTTACACTGCCATTATGGCGATCAAACAAAAACCCCGGAGAGGTCGAGCTCGGAAGTCGGTTGATTGTCGACAAGTTGAAGATGGGGGGAGAAAGAGGAGTGAGCTGAGGGACCGAGTGCGTCGGAGGCGTTTCAGGATTCAGAAGCCAGAGTCGCCCATCGCTCACAAAAGGACAAACGGAACAGTTAAGGGGAATGTGGCCGTCAACGGTTGCAGTTAACTACGAGGCTTTGGAGGTCTACGTGAGCTCACAAGCTTTGACAGTGTAGGATCATGATTGATCGTAAGAAGTCATGCAGCATGTGACGCCCTTCTTGTCCCGGCCGTCGTTGACAGTTGCACTAAAACTGTAGAATAGTCGCTCTTTGTCGGTGCAATTCGGGCCCCAATAGGTTCTTTCGACACTGACTGGCCATGTGAGGTACGGAGAGGTAGAGTTCCTCCATCGATTTCAGTACAGAACTGTGCCCACATTTGGCCAGCAAACTAGAGTGTGGAGCTCCGACATGGGAGTGTTTTGGTGCACTCTTCTCAGCTCTTCCCTTGAGTCGGAGGAACCTCCTCCTGTGCATGTGTTCTGATTGATGCCTACTTGTCGTCGGCAGTCTTCCACCGCGAAATTCATTGATGCGTCAGGGTTGAATAATTTACAGTACTGACGTCTTGACATTATTGCTGCAAGGTCGTCCTAATTCGATACGTAGCGCAATTTTTTTAACTAAATCAAAATCATTCTGGCTTGTGCGTCGTCTCCGAGCTTGAACCTGAGGACGTATGAAAGAACAAGATATCCATTACTTAAAGTGCAGAATTCCATTACTGGAACAGGTCAAAGATCCCTACACAACGTCGCCACATGTAATGATTACAGGCTTCTGTTTGTCTACTCGGCAATGAATATGAAGAGGGCCCAGCTGCAATCGGGTATAAGACTCCTCTCAACTCATAGCCTATTCAACTGCATCTTTTCTAGGGGGTGCATGTTCTCAATAAGCAATTGACTCCTGAAAGAATACTACTGTCGAGGTCACTGCGTGGGCGAGCTCCTGTCCGATTCTCTTCCCAGCATTCGCCTTCCTTCTGGTAAACCCCTGTCAACATCTGTGGTTTGTGGCTTCTCCAAATATCATATTTTTTAGGACGGATAAGTGAAGACTCACGAAGGACTTGCGAGCACCGATCAATATTCTGCTGATCTGCTTGAATTTTCTTTACAGCGAGATAGACTTGGAGTTCAACGATCGTGACCAACCAACCTCCGTGCACTTCATCGAGTACGGATGCTGATTACAGGAACAGTTGATGAGATATGGTCTTGTATTATCTGCCAACTTGTGGAACACTGCAGCGTCCAGAGTGCCTAGAGGATGGTGTGCAAACGTTGATGCGCCCCTCTGGTTTGCAGGTTAGTCTAGAGTTGGACTCGCCAGATTATGGAATCTTGACAAGCTCCCGCCATGTCTGCATTTCATAGCTACTCCACTCCTTACTTCAACATTATTCTGAAGTGCCAAAAGTTCGTTTCTCGAACATGATCCAATCTGGACTACATGTTGTCTATAACCATTTCCTCAACTCCATATAGACCTCTCGCTTAGTTTACTCGCTCTCTGTGCTCGCACTAAGCTGACCAAGAAGGCCAGTAGTTGGCCTGCAGCCATGAAGTCTTTCTCCTGAATTAAGCTGCTGGCATTAACATTTCCTCCGTCGAGACATGAGAACCTTTTGCTGCTTTGGACTCAAAAGTTCGCTCCTTCTGCATTCCTGCGAGCAGTAAGATCATGCAAGCTTCTGGAAACTGTTTCCCGTCTCCGCCGGAACACTTCACGAGTCAGGATCGGTGGTCTTAAGTTTGATTGGGAGGAGAATCCTGCATTGAGTACTGCTCGTGATCACAATGCTTGCCCTTGGAGTAATCGCACTCTTGATTCCTATTTTCCTTCTCAGTCAAGGTGTAGGAGATGCAGGCGGTGAAACTCGTGGAGGAGATTCTTATGACATTGTTGCTGGGAAGACACTTCTTCCACCCATGGTTTTCGGACTTGGTGTGTTCTACGTGGCGGTGATGATTGGAGTATTCCTTACTGTCTTGGGCCCTTTCCTAGTCGTTGGTTTGATAGTTCTCTTTCTTGGAGGATTTTTAAATAGTACAATCTGAGGATCATAGCTGTAGATTAGACAGCCCAATTTTGATCGTAGGTCATGCACTGTTCGAGGACACTGATGGGTTGATTTCCTTCTGTTTCACCATGTTATACTGGTTCAGATCTAGCGCTAGTCCCAGAAAGTGCCGACCCCTTGAAACTATCGACGTCAAGACCATTGAGAGTAAAAACTTTGAAGGATTTGAAGGTTTGAAAGGTTGTAGTACCAAAGGAGTGCAATTTGTACGCTGATGCATTTTGGACCAAAAAGAAACTTCTGATGCAGAGGGTAAATTGGAAAATGTCCGAGGTCGCAATCGAGGTTCAAGAGTAATCAGTTGACTGATGTCCTTTACAATCAATGCTTGTCAGTATGCTGCCTTCACTAGCTAAAGTTACAGAAGGATGCATGGCAAAGTTCAACTGACGTGAAGTTGTGCACAGGGTCGAACTTTATGTAAGTCACATTCTAGTCCAGCATACCGATTGTGTTCAAGTCGAATGCTAACTGGTCCACCCTCTCTCACTATCAAGCAAACATCTTCGGCCGTCTCCTTGTTCTTGAACTTTGTAGGGAGCAAGAACCAAGTCAGAGCCTGCTCGTCACCTCTCGTTCAAGATTTATTGAACCTCTGAATGATTCGCGATTTCACAATGGATGTGAAAAGTCGGCAAAAAAAGGTCGACGTAAAGTATGCTTCCGCTACTTTCTGTCTTCGATGTCCTCATGCTAGAAGGCCTTCACGGCAATGTTCGAGCACAGTGTTTCTGGCAAGTGATTTTGTCGTTCATAGATTCTTCCAAGAGACGAAATCACTTCACACTAGCATAGAACATCCAGTCGGTACAACCTTACAAAATTACAGTAACTTCAAGAGGATGAACCAGGGAACAACCAACAGCCAAGTGCTGCATAGAGATCTCGCTGATGGTACACAGGACAACAGTTGGCAGCTGACGCTACGGGATAGATCACGAATGCGCTTCAAAACTTCCGTACAAACTGGTAAGGTACTAAAGTGGAAGAAACAAGCAAGTGCCAGATTTTGGAGTCTCAATGTACGCGGAAGAACGAAGCTTTTCTATCCAATACGTTATGAGAGGTCAAAAGCAAAGAGAATCCATTGATCACCATCACATTCTTCTCAAACAAGATCAAGTACTCAAAAAATGCAGGGTCTTTACCGCTCAGGCAAATTATTTTAACTTGATTGTGTTACAGTGAAACAGCCTTTTTGCTTCATTGTCGAGAAGATAGGTTCACACCTTGAGGCCTGGAAATGGTTGATATACACAAAAGACACTGGTTCTTGATTGATAGCTGAAGGTGAGACCGACCTTGAGCCTAGCAGGCTACGGTCAATATCTACTCACTAATCTGAAACTCTAGTATAATTCTTTAAAGGTTAGAAAAAGTGATCCTCTAAGAGTATTCGCTATTCCGAATTATGACCTACGTACAAATTGCTTTCTTTGCTCTACGGACAATTAGACGTAAAAAGTTTCTTGCTCTACTCTTTGTCTTTATTCTCTGAATTCAACGGCTTATAAGCTAGGGATGATTTGTGTCGGTATCTATGGAACAGAAAGCCAGAAAAGAAGGCAAATATACTCAGCAACGTGACTACACCCGTGTAGATGACCGAAGACCAGAAGAAACACTTACCCTGGGGATATTTAAAAGGACTCCAGGGCCATGAACATCCTTTGCGGTAGGCAAAAGTTCTAACTGGCGATCGGACGTCAGTTGCCTTACTATAAAGCAATTGCACATCTATTTTCGTCATATCTGAATCGTCGAGCCGCTTCCAAGTTGAAATATTAAGACTTCGACCTTGCGGTTCGTTTAGATTGGCGAAGATAACTCTAGCCCGTCGAGGAACACCCACCCTGCCATACGCGTGGTACCCAGTTCCTCCTCCGTAACACAAATTTACTCCCATCAGCTTCCCACAATAATCGTTCAAGTGATCGTGTCCAACAAAGGTGGCCTGAACGTCTCCAGATTCCAGTAGAGTGGAAAAAAATCCTGAATTAATTGGTGCCGAGTACACATCTTCCAGCTGGCGACCTGTAACTTGATCGCGGTATAGAATGGTATCATATTCCGGGATCGGAATGTGGAAAAACGCCAAAGCTGGGGCAGGTGAGGCCATCTGAAACAGAGACAGATAAACCGTCAAAAGACTTGAGAGGAATAATTCTACAAGGTAGAGTTGATTGGTACTATCCAGGTGAGACTAGCCCGTCCGTCGGGAGAACTTTCCCACTGTGTTGAAAATCTAGACATGTGAGCATCCTCGAAGACGAGAGGAATCTCCAAAGTTTCCTGTTTCATGTTTTGCTGCTAATGCCAGACTGGAAACTAGCTTACAGTTAAGTCTCCATGCATCACATTCTCCCCTTGACTTCCAAAACCTGAAACTGGAGGCTCAAATTCACTGGGCTAGGTAGATCACAAGCAGTGTGTACTTCGTATAATGCACTTATTGAAACGAAAGGGAGAAAATGCAGACCCGAAGCTGCTGTGAGAGGCTGGAAAACCAAGTCTGTTGACTTCTCCGTATCCAGTCGTAGCCCCTTATTTCTGGCAGCTTTGAGTTGTCTCCACTATCCAGGAAGTACAGATTTAGCAAACTTGTGTTCTCCGTTGGCGTTGCAGATGATCCGAACACTGACAGGTAATAATTACCCCAACCGTGGACCCCCGCAGCTTGAGGGTCGAGGACTTTGGCCAAGGAATTCTTCATTTGAGATATGTATTCCATCAAGTGAGGCCGAGGAAGATTAGAATCCACATCATGATTTCCGAGAATAGCAGCCCATGGTATGTTTGATTCTATAGCTGGTGCAAAGGCTGCGTCCATAGATGTTTTAGCATCTGAAGCCCCCCAGTCGATGTTGTCACCTATGTAATCAACAGTTTCCACGGGGTTATTTTCTTCTGCTCAAATCAGAATCCACTGGATCAAAAGAAGAAAAGTCTCCATCAAATAGGAACTTATTTATGTGTAATGAACACCCTGCCAAACATGTGCATACAAACATAAGCGTCCTATGTAGTTAGCGCACATCAGCTTTGATACAATACTCGTGTTTGTCGGTTGTATTCGAGTGTGGGTAGGGCAACCTCCACAGTGCAAAGTGTATAGGTGTGCAGATGTGGTTCCGGTCGGGGTACCGTCGTGCTTATCTTCCTAGGGGTTCTTGAACATGGAAACAAAATCCTTCTAAACCCAAAGCAATTGTTAAGCCAATTGCATACCTGTGTAAACAATCAAGTCAGGAGCTTCTTTCTGGATCATTCGGCGGACAAATGCCGTGGTATTCAGATCGGAGCAGTACGGCATTTCCGAAGACTTAATGTCACTGCACGGCGTTGTTGCACCATTCCCGTAATGCATGTCGGCTACCTGATAGAAAAACGTGCGGTGTAAAAATCCAGTCGAGAAAATTTTCTTCAAAAACCTTGCCCAAATCCAAGACATCAACATCGACGAAGAGTTCAACTACAAAATTAGATCTTCTTCGCGGGTATGAAAAGACCAATTACGACTGCAATGCTCATTCATGTCAATTACTGTCTATACACAGACTTCAACGTGTCGAGAGCAGTAATATTAAACACGGGCAATTACCTGCAAGATTTTGAAGGTGGATTCACCATTGAATCGAAGCACCGTGTCGGCCCCCGAAACGAGAACGCATGCTCGAAAAATCCACAACGAGAGAACGAAAAAACTACAAGCAGCCCGTATCCCCATGGGGACAATCATAGCTGGAGGTAGAATTGAACACAATCCCGCTACCCTGGACGACGCCTCTTGTCGAGATTGTCGCTCGTCTAGAAATTCCTCCTAGAAAGCCCGCACTGTCACATTGCCGTCGCTTCTACTTCCAAATCGCAAACAGCCAAGACACCAATTCCACCTTCGCAACAACGCACTTCGCTGAAGACATGAAGCCTGCGACGCTGACATCGCACATCGTCGCCCACATTCCATTCCTCCTCCTGGAAATGCGCCTTCCGCAGCGCTGCGCGGTGCTCGGAATTTCCTCCCAATGTCCCAGCTCACGCATGGCTCACAGTGCTTTCGAACCACTGGACGTAGTTCCACTCCAGAACGACGTTCGCTGTTTGCTCCCTCTGCCCCACGTCATCGCTCACGGTCTTTCCAATTACTGGACGTAGTTGTTCTGTAGAACGAGGTTGGCTGTTTCCTTTCATTGCCCTGGTCATCGCTTACGGTGCTGTCCAATTACTGCACGTAGTTGTTAGGAGCGAGGTTGGCTTAGGTGCTTCGCAAGCTTACGGTGCTTTCCGACTACTGGGACGTAGTTTCTCTAAGGAACAACGTTCGCCGTCCCATTTGTTGCCCTACTGCTGTATCTCTCCCTCACTCTTCTTACGAACCAGTAATACACTAGTACAATATACCTCGTTCCATTCCTATATACTACTCCACAATTATAAAAGTATAGAAAATCTTGATGATGTGGGTTTTAAATTAAATTGAATAGCAAATAAAAAACTGCATAGATTGCCTTGAATTTTTAGGAAAATACTTATTTCTTTAACTTGGAAACTAATAAAAGAATAACAGATGTGAATTCGCCACCTAAATTTCAAGCTTTGGTCAACACTGAGATATCTAGTTTTCTAAAATAACTCGAAATGTACATTTGTAACAATCAATAGCGTACAACACAAACATACAACAATCTCAATGTCAAGACTACTTTAACGTATCCAGCATATTTTGAATTATCAAATAGATTTAAAATACTTCAAATATTTTGCTACTTACAAATAGATTCATTTTCCACAGTAGCATCATTGGTTTACACAATCTGGTGAATTTCACAAGATATATATTCATAGTCAGAGTTACATTATTATTCAGTTCAAGTAGAATGTACAATTAGAAACGAGGAAATATATTATCTTATTTCTAAATCCAGCTAATTCTTCCGAAAGATGTAAGAAAACTAACAGAAGAAATGTATTTTACCTTACTCTTCAGTCGTTATAGGGTAATGGAGACGATATGGAAATTAAAATTGATAGTGATAAAAAAAATTGACAAATTACAATATGACTTGACTGGATTAAATCGTTATTTATATATCCACATTTTTTAAGTACAGTACAAACAAGAAAGAAAAAAAACAAAACTCAAAAATTAAATTTGTATTTGTCTGTCTGTGTTGAATTATCCTTGTGTGACAGGCTATCGGGAACCCAACGTAGAATTGATGAACTTTCACACAAATATCTGCAAACTGTCAAACAATTTCATAAGGAAGCTTTGTGTTTGTTCTCGTTCGAGTTCATTTTGTAGGTGACAGGTCATCGAGAGCCTAACGTACAAGCAAGGCTCCGGACATACTAGAGACGCGACTTCATGCTCAGGCCCCGGCGGAGGTTTGGATTTCGGGGGTGAGGCAGGGGAAGCCGGTGTGCGTGCCTCGGATCTTCGAGGCGACGAGAGAAAATGGAGACGATGGCCATGGCGAGGCGCTTGGGCTGTCCTCTGCCATCTGCGCGGCCGTGGTGCACCGGCAGGTTCTGCCACGGAGCGCGAGCCTTGCAGACGCCCGACCTCCGCCAATGGGTCGAGAAGCACGGAGGCTATGTTTCCCCCGGGATCGAATTGAGTCAAGACGGACAGTCCGGGCTCGGATTGCTCGCTTCGCAGTGGATCCCGCGCGGGCAGACGCTCATTCGTCTGCCCTCGCGTCTGCAGCTGGGAATGCGCTCCGGTGATGCCAATTGTCCGGCCGACGAGACGCTTCAAACCATCGCCAATCGTGTGCCAGGTTGTTGTCTATGAATCTCGTGTCCATGATTGTTTTTCGTCAATTTTCCGCTGCGATAACCTGTGAAAAGTGAAGTCATAGTGGACCCTTTCTTCTCATCACAATTCTCAAGGAATGGATTATAGAAGAGAACAGATTGTCAAGTCGAGATTTGGAATTTGCAGTGACAAGTGTCGAGCAGCTCATCAGTAGGCAACTCAGCCGACAATTTCGTCCCTCAATCAAGAAAATCATTAATTCTTCATCTCCTTCATTTGGGGCAACAATCAAATCAACCGGAAACCCTAGATCACTACTATATTCTCTGCTGGTCGGTCTATAAAACGTTCTTTTTTTTATTTTCCCAAGATTTTCATGCGATTCATGGGAGGTCTGATAAAGAGTGAGTGCATTCTGATTATTTGGAAGCAGTGTCTGTTGACAATGTGTAAAGCTAAAGAGGAAGGGACTGGTCTGGTTACTGTCTGTTTTTTTGTGTGTGATGTAAACTAGTGTTGGTAACTCCCCCGTCGATCAAAAGGAGTGAATACGGATACCGGGTGGAGCTGATGTGGCAGAGGAGTTATGGTCCTTAAAACTGGGTCTGAAATTGCTGAACGAGAAGGCGAAGGAGAACTCATTTTGGTGGCCTTACATCAGCCTTCTTCCTCAACGGTTTCAGACACCAATTTTCTTTTCTGGAGAGGAGATCGCAAGTCTCCAGTACCCACCTTTGATTCACCAGGTACACTCTACTCAGCTGCTACCGTGCTCCAGATACTCGCGAGGCGTATATAATCATTTGCCCTGAATCTTTGTGTCAAATTTCATCTTTGTGGCCTGGAAGTTCAGACCGTTTAGATTCAAGCAAATGCAAGAAGCAATCCGTTTCAAGAATATTTGTGGTATGATGCTATTACCTGCTTTTGTAGATCGCAGAGGTGAAAGTGAACCTTTCATCTATTCTTAGACGAGGAGGATTTTAGCAAGCTCTGTACATAATAATCTACCCTATGTTCAAGGTTTTTGGCCGCTGGTGCATACAGCGATCTTTTGTTACAGACAATCAACTTTTGGTGTTTGAGGTTTGATTCATTATATGGTTAATCCTGTAGGTGAAAAAGAGGTGTCAGGTTCTTTATCAAATCTCATCAAAGGACATTCCCGCAGTGTTGGAAACATGTCCGGAGGAGAAACATCCTTTTGGTGGGCAGCAAGTGGATGGAGGTGCCCTAGGCTGGGCGATGTCTGCTGTTTCCAGCAGGGCGTTTCGATTACAGAATAGCGCTGGGGATTCAGAAAGAGTCCTGTTGCCGCTTATTGACATGTGCAATCACAGTTTTTCTCCCAATGCGCGTCTCGAGCAGATTCCGACGCCAGACAATACAGACTTTCTATTCCAGGTACTACCCTATGTACTCACAGAAGAATTTGATGATGATCTGCGTCGAGTCATTCTTCAAAACTTCATGATCTACTCTGAGCTTGTAGGATGCAGTTAGATGCGTCTTTTTGGCTGTTGAGGTGTGCTCAATCTTTTACATCTGTCACATAAAGATCTCGACAACTAATGTGATATTTACGTTACCTAACTTCTAGTAGATGCCGTTTCTCGTTTGAGAAATGTAATTTTTCAGTTACTTTTGCTGATTTCTTGACATCTCAATATCTTAGCATGTATCAGATAAACCTTATCTGAGAAATGGTTCCTTTGGTTAGAAATAACGACTTTATGCTGAACATCTGGGACCATTAATTTTGAAGGTCGTGGCAGAATCGTCTTTGGAAAAGGGTATGCCACTATCACTGACCTACGGCGCACTAAGTAATGACTACTTACTCTTGGATTACGGCTTCGTCGTTTCGGAGAACCCCCACGATCGTGTCGAACTGAAATATGATCCATCTCTTCTGGATGTGGCACGCATGGCGGGTGGTTTGAGTAGCCAAGGACCACAGTCTTTCACCTCTCCTGCACCATGGCAACAAGCTCTCCTCGCTCAACTCCGCCTTCAAGGTGCTGGAGCATCGCTTATGGTGCGTATATTCTGACACTCTGTGAAGTTCAGGCTCAGTAAAGTGAGCTGCGCCTATCGCTTATATATCTGTTTGTAAGGATTCTCGTGGTGAGCTCATTTGTCTCAACGACATTGCGATCATGAATCCATTTCTATCGGCTGAACGATCGTACTATTGGGAGACATGCCAGTGTTGTATCCTTAATTATAACTCTGCAACTGAGTCGTTCGATTCGTTTGTTACCTTTGGTTCTTACTTTTTTCGTTTGTAAAAACGGCTCGATATGGTGTTGGTGTCCCTTTTTCACGTTGAAATGGATGGGGTAGTCTTGATGGGATTGAGGTAAATGCTAATGAGGTCAACTTCCAACATGCAGGTGACTTTAGGAGGCCCTGATATTGTAGAAGGTCGATTACTTGCTGCTCTGAGAATACTCTATGCTGCTGATGTATCCGAACTTCGCCACCAAGACTTGGAGCAGCTGCAGCAGTGGGGTTCGAAGCCTCCTCTTGGATTTGCAAATGAACGAAACGTTCTTCGTACCTTGGCAGCGCTTTCCGCCTTGGTGCTCACACGTTCCTTTGCAACAACTGTAGAGCAAGATAGGGCATCGTTGGGAACTTTAGAACATTCTAGCAATCAGCAGCTCACTATGGGATACCGACTGGAAAAGAAGCAGATGTTGCTCGATACAGTCGAAAAAGTGATGGATAGATTAAATTCTTTGAAGCCTGACTCGAAGGTGGGTCAGGAAGTCAAAGCAAGAAAAGGCAAGGGGTTTGGCTGAAGACGTTACAGCTTTTTCAAGTGATCAATCTTTGTCGTTCACGTTCATTCCACAAATATAAATTTCACTTCTGAAATGTACTAGCTTTTACGAATTACGTTTCCAACACGCGCAGTCTGTAGGAAGAGTTGTAGTTGTGTGCTTCTCGTCTTCCACTTTCTGGGCAGGACATCAACTGAATGCGATCAATCACGGAGAATTCCGTTCTTCACTTGCAATTTTATGGGGACCATCAAATTATCACAATGTACGGGTTTATTGCCGTGACCGAAGTGCTTGCACGGTCGTCCGGAATTCCTTCAATTTGTAAACGGAAACTGTCAATTGTCTTAACCCAATCCCTTTGCCGAGCTGACTTAGACGCTGCTTGTTTGGAGATACCTGCCTCCGATCTTTCAGCATAGACTCACGAGCAGGCTACTTTTCTGGTTCGCCATGTACAATGCAACTGAGGTGAGAAATTGATGGTCCCATGTAAAGTTAATTAAACTTAATAAGTCTATCCAACTAAACTCGCAAGAAGAATATACTCTAAAGCCTCACATGAAGACATCTAATGTTAACCTGGGCTGGGCCACCTAGTCTATGGTATAATATAGTATCTAACAGAATAATTGAGTCTTTGATAATGTTACATACGAATGATAGCATTTCATATTAAATTGTATCACGTGTTTTGGTTAATCCAGTGTGGACAGGACTGGTTAGTGCTCTCTTTGCCGCAATTGAAACCCATCGTCTAAAACCAGATACAATATGCTGAGAATGGATTATATTGCCAACTGCTGCATAATATGAGAGATGCATATAATTACTTGCCTATCACGGACTCAATGAGTTGACTCCCGACTGTCATGAAGCCAACAAAGGGAAACCTTACGTGTAATTCTCATTATAGGTGTAATTCTCGGGAAGTCCAGCTCCAGCAGGCCCGTGATATATTGGTAACTAATGTAAATGTGATAGCGTAGGTAGGAATGACGGAAAGAGGTGGAAAGACTCAAATGGATTGATTTGATTAGAGACTCATTTTGCGACGAGTGATGTATATGTTAAATTTAACCTTCACACTCTAGCAAACCAATTACGTTACTCTTTAAAAACTGCGCCTTGTGAATTGATGTGGGTAATGCATGTTAATTGGGGAGAGATCTTCGTCTTCCATCTTGAAGAATTAGGAGCAAAGTAACGGGCTAAAATAAAATCAGACACTTACATATTTTCTTTTCTAGTTCACATGTTGAATTCGTTGAGTTTGAATTGGGGGTGCTCTTTTGTTCACTTCTCGCTGCATGTGCAGCTGCCTTGATGCACACTTGTCATGCCCTTGGAAGGTAGTTACTTGACACATGATTGCGCAGCTACGACAGTGGACAACAGCAACCATGATAAAAAAATAATATATCATCAGGATCTCGGCAAGTGCAAGGCTACTCCTTTCGACGCTGAATGTGGCATCATGCATTCCGGTCTTGTCCACGATGCAGGTGTCCTAATCTAACACTACCATCTTCCGTTCCCTGATGTACAAGAGCACCCAAGTGCAAATGCTGACGGGTGTGAAGAATACATGCACCGACATCAGCCAGAGTCTGAAAGCATTCCCATGTCCCAGCGACTTGAATTTGCCTTCCCCGATCCCGCCGACCTCGAAGCCCAGCGAACATTTAGACGAGAGGTGACCAAGCGTGGACAAGACCGACAGTGTTTATACATTCCAATTTGTTCCCCTACAATTTTTCTGTCACCGCGTTGCCTTCAACACTTGCCTTTCAAAGCGCAGTCGAGCAGAAACGATACTATGTCACCCTGAAGAGGGAGGAAACCCAAAATACGGAAATCAGATCTCACACAATTTGAAGCCAGCCTCTCATGGACCAACGGAAAGAGGAACATGAGAAGCCCTCTTGTTCTGGGATACAAAGCAGGATACCACCAGACGAAGAATTTAGTCCATCTCGTCGTTCATAAACTAGATCCTGCTGCCAAAGACAGTTCGCATGTGTAGCCAGCCACCAGCTGAATCATTATGGACGACACGAAGCGCATCTGAATCCGTCCGGTCGACGTAATCGGCGCCAACAGCCTTCTGAACCACAAAAGAGACAGAGAGAAAGCGTGTAGCACTCAAACATGGAGCTCACACAACAGTCATTTTCGTGGTTCCATGGTATTTTGTTTGTTTGTTTTTTTTTGTAGCAGAAAAAATACCATAACTCTTGCTTGCTCGCTCTTCTTATCCTGTGCGCTGTAGATAGAATCCAAGTTTGGGCAAGCTGTGATTTCTGTTGGAAAAACTCACCTTCATTTCCAACATGATGACAAAAGCATGCGTATTCCATTTCATTCAGGACTGTTCAAACTTTTGGGTCGGTTGTCGCCGGAGAATCAAGAATATGACGAGGCAGGCAGCATACATCCTTGACCTACTGTCGTTGATGGGACGGATGATGACTAGATGTCTATTCTATTAAGCCCTGGAGACATTCTCTTACAGGCCTTCCATCGCGTGCAATGCCCTGAAACCCTGATTAGAAGCATGTGTGCCCAGACTCGCATCCATGAATTACCGAGACAATATATAAAGTGAGTCCGTGTTTATATTTATATTCTTATTGATATGGTGTTCAATATCGTGCAATTTATTTTAGACAGATAGTTTCCATTGCTCTTCAAAGATAATTGAACAGTTTATTACTTGGGAGTGTGATCATGTTAGCTGACTCTTTTGTAGATCATATGATCTTTATTATTGGAACATAGTAAAGAATGAATCTCATCTTAGTACGGTTAAGTGTCTAACGATTTATTTATTTTGTATTTTGTTCGGCTGATGATGATTCTCATCGTTTTTACATCCATATTGAGCCACCCTTGCCCAAAAAAAAATGGTTTTATTTTGAAATCATTCCTTTCTATAAGACTCATTTGTTACGCTGGTTCTTAAGGCTTGGATAACAACAGTCGAATGAATCCCACATAATATTGCAGTTATTCATGACTCGCCTTCTCGGTTATGCATAACTGATGCATTAGACTGGATTGTGCAATCCATATTATAACAATTTAATTCAATCGATAGATTAGAAGAGATTTACTTATGATCGTTCATATGCTTCGAAGTAATCAGATTATACTTCACCTATACAGAGTTCATTCTTCCAATAGTGTCAACTTTTAAGTGTGACATACTCTCATTAGTGATTTAAAATTTAATAACCATTAATTTCTAACTTGTAAATCTGTTTAGTAAGAACGATATGTTATTATTACCAACAATGACACGATGCTATCCAATAGTGATAATTTCAAAATAAAAATTACTATCATGATCACAGTACAGAACTATAAGCTATACAAAATGTGTCATAAGTTTATTTGAAGATATATCTCAACAATTCATTTTTTATGGGCTTCAGTAAAATAATTCATTACATGTATTATCATCAATTGTTTCATTGTTGTGTATTAATTTGAATTCAAATGTAATTATAATGTTTAATAATAATCTCCTTGAACACTACAAATATGCAAATGAGTTCAATTTGAAACCAATAAACATAATTATGAAATGTCCTAAGAAATATATAATGCAGGATAAAACATTTATACAATTTTTTTTAATTAACAGTTTCCAATAATGATATCTAATCCCGACACCAATGTATATTATTATTAAAAGGGTATAATCAAATTTTGCATTTACCAATAGAAACATTAAATTCTAAAACCAATATATGAGTGTTTTATGCCACTATTGGTAGGTTTAACTTGTCATTAAATAAGATACACGAGGTTAGAAAATAATTCGTGCTATGATGCCTCGTCTTTGCTAACGCTAGCCCTAGGTTTCACCCTTGAAGGGTACTTCCCATCCGTTTTGCTAGATTATTGTGTTTCCCTTGTGTTCCGATCAAAGCTAAAACATTTATGAAGTCAGACGCAACATAAATAAAGTGTGACAAACTAGATTCCCACGTTGTGAAAAGTGGCGAAGTTAAAGGGTAGGTCGGTAGTCCCTTCCGCTGAAAAGGGCGTCATCCCGGACTCTCAGTTAAGACGGGAGAACGAAACGAAAATCAATTCGCACCCTTCCTTTAATGACCAGAGGAATTAAGAATGTAGGCTGTCAGTGGATCGATAAGATATTAATTAGGACTAAGTTCGCGGAAGTCTCTTCGCGGTTCGAGTATCGTAAAAATGGGGTCGTGGGGTACAAGTGGACCCTCCCATCGGGAATCCAGTCCCATCAGGGAGCGAGCACCTCGGGGGGCCTCGGTTACTAATAACAGCAGCCGGCTGTACACGTGGACGCCGCGAGAGTTCGCTGACCTGGAAGCGTGGGCAGGAATCCAAGGAAAGCCCATTATCTTAAGTCAAGAAACGCAGACGTGTGAGTACAGCCCGAGGTCCGAAGTTCAGGAAACGCAGGGAGCTTAGACTTGAGCGAGAGGAAACGGAGGAAGCGCTAAGGCCTGCGCTTCGCGCGGTGCTGGAAGCAAGCGTGACGACAAAGCGAGGAGCAGCGCTCGGTGAAGCTTGTGGATCAAGGGTCCAGATTTGGCGGGGGAAGATTCGGAATCGCCCGTGCTACTTAATCCCGTCCGCACTGATGAGGCCCCGTGTGACCTTTTAGCTTAGCGAAGAGAGAGAGAGAGTGTCTCGAGAGCAATTTATCGATCGATTTGTCGTGACGAGAATTGGAAGGAGAGGAGAGGTGAGGTAATGGCGATAGCGAGGATTGGAGCGATGGGTTTCGCTGTGTGCGTGGGAGTTTTGGTTCTATTGGCAGCCTCGGTTGCGGATGTGGAGGCGGCTGGGCTGAGCCGATTGGCGTTGAAGAAGAAGGCGCTAGATTTGGAGTCGGTCAAGGCCGCGAGAGTGAGCGTGACCCAGAGAGCGCAGCTGCTGTGCGGAGGAGACAAAGCTGATGCGGATGCTTTGGTTTTGACGAACTATGTGGACGCTCAGTATTACGGTGAGATCTCGATCGGAACTCCGCCGCAGGTGTTCAATGTTGTGTTCGATACGGGTAGCTCCAACTTGTGGGTGCCGTCTTCGAAGTGCTACTTCTCTGTCGCGTGCTACTTCCATGCCAAGTACAAGTCCAGCAAGTCTAGCACTTACAAGGAGGACGGCAGGCAATTCGCCATCCAGTATGGAACCGGATCCATGGCTGGGTTTCTGAGCCAAGATTCGGTCACTTTGGGCGACATGGTCGTGAAGGGTCAGGTCTTTGCGGAAGCCACCAAAGAGCCGGGAATCACATTCCTCGCTGCCAAGTTCGACGGAATTCTTGGTTTGGGATTCAAGGAGATTTCCGTGCAGAGGGTGTCTCCGGTGTGGTACAACGCGCTGGACCAGGGGCTTCTCGCCGAGCCCGTGTTTTCTTTCTGGTTGAATCGAAATGCTGATGAGGCACAGGGAGGAGAGCTTGTTTTCGGAGGTGTTGATGCCAAGCATTTCAAGGGAGAACATGTGTACACGCCTGTTACCAGAAAGGGATACTGGCAGTTCAACATGGGCGATGTTCTGATCGGCGGAAAGAGCACTGGATTCTGCAAGGGAGGTTGTGCAGCCATTGCCGATTCCGGAACTTCCCTCTTGGCTGGTCCCTCTGTCATCGTCGCCGAGATCAATCAGGCCATCGGTGCTTCGGGCATCGTCAGCCAAGAGTGCAAGATAGGCGTGGAGAAGTATGGCGATATGATTACGGATCTTCTCCTGCAGAAGATGGACCCATCCAAGGTCTGTGCTCAGGTCGGTGTGTGCAGTGATCTGTCCTTTGGCCACATCGAGAGCATTCTGGAGAAGGAGTTGGGATCCGAAGAGGTCCTAGACATGAGGAAGGATGATGGAACCTGCGCCGTCTGTCAGATGGCAGTCGTCTGGGTCCAGAACCAGTTGAGGCAAAACAAAACCAAGGAACAGATCGAGAACTACCTCAACCAGCTTTGTGAACGACTTCCCAGCCCCAACGGTGAGTCCATGGTGGATTGTGCCGCTCTGCCAGGTATGCCCAATGTAGCCTTCACCATCGAGGGCAAGTACTTCGAGCTGACTCCCGAGCAGTACGTTCTGAAAGTGGGAGATGGCAAAGACGCTCAGTGTATGAGTGGCTTTTTGGGTCTGGATGTCCCAGCACCCGCAGGTCCTCTGTGGATTCTAGGAGATGTGTTCATGGGTGTCTACCATACTGTGTTCGACTACGGAAACTCTCGAATTGGGTTCGCACCAGCGGCCTAGACAGATCCATTTGTGCTCATTAGCTCTACCAAAAGTACACATTCTGTGAATTCTAATTACCGATTGTAGAGAACTTGGAAAATACAACAAACCCGAACCCTAATCTTCAGTTCTGTTCTTAGATTTCTGAAATTATGGTGTTGTTTGTAACTACTGTACATAAAGCTAGTTTAGACTTCTCCAGTTTCATCCAAGCGTATATATGATTATCTCGAGACTTTGCTCCATCATCATAGAGGATGAAATCTGTACCATATTTGACCACACGGTGGCAGTGGAAAGGAAAACGAGAAAAAAAATACACACATCTCGCAGTCGATTTAATAATCCTGAGGCACTGAGTGCCGAAGAGCAGGAAGTTGTCGTCCACGATATCGACGTTTCTCTCGCAGTTGTAGTCGAGGGTTGTTGGCGTAACAGTTGCGCTGTACAGTACATGTTGCCTTCCAACAGCGATCGATCGGGAAACACCAAGCCCGTTGACATTTATACATAAGGATCTTTACATCCTATTTTGGTATCCATTTGGTCCCATTCGAGTTGTTTCCTTCGCGAACTTGCTTGACGAAGCTTTTGTACCTTAATTAGGACTTTCAATGGTTTCGTCCATGAGTGAGTGCATTCTTCTAAACTGCTGACAGCTTCCACAAGTTTCAGTTAGTGATTTAGAAGACTAAAACGGGGGAATGACTTTAGCATATGTATTCAGTAGCAAGAACTTGCACAGTAATCAGATCTAGTCAATGGTTCCCTTTCAAAATGATATGATCAAGGTGAGAAGACAATTTAGGAAATATCAAGTTACAGCCTACAACCATTAGAAAAAGTGACAAGTGTTCTACACTTCGTACACTGTCGAAACATGATCAAGACTATCAAATGGTTATATCAAATGGTTATAGCGGATTATCTCAATTTGAACCACCATACACTGTTTAGACTTGGCCTTATTAATTAACGAGCGGGAATTACAAGTTGTTTTGAAGAATCAAACTTTACGTATCTTAGTGACAAAGCAAAAGTTTCTGCGAGCTGAATTCATCTTAATGATATGGTAAAAACATTTGCGAGACATATAAGATATGGTAAGGATGATAACATCTTTTCACCTAACATATTCCAACTATCTAGTTCAAGAAAATCTCTATATTATATGAACACGAGAAGAAATATCATTGAGGAAACGGGGGTTAAATCAATACTAATTAAATAAATAAAATCCACGTAAAAACATTATCTACCATTATTTACTTACTTTATTGATCTTATGTCCAATACAAAGGAAAACGACATAATTACATGCTTCGCTTAAATTCATTTGTCCAAAAGCATTCATCCCGTTAAAACTTAAAGAATATTAAAGTGACTTCCATCTACATAATTTCTCATTTACACTTAGATAACGAATACATTGTAATGTTTTCATGTAAATGCAAATACCCTAGTGATGATTATTAAATTATCACAAAATGGAACTGTTTTACACTTGAATAATGAGTATATTGATCTTTGAACATGAAATTTACATACATTATGAATGATATTTTAATCACACTTGAATAATTCATATACGGTACTCTATCCACAAAAATGTAAACACACTTATACCATAACAATCACCAAATTATGAATGGACAAACTGTCTATTACATGCGTCCAAAAATTATAATCGACCCTCGAGACCAAAGACCAATTCGAAGAGCAAACTCATCCCTTTAGATTAACGAATTAAAGGTCCTCGTAATGTCGAATTTCATCACTAAAGGAAAGCAGAGCTTGGTTGTGCTCGGCCTCAGAGGGCTACATCGTAACGTTGATGCTAGATATGGTGTACAGGGCACACTGTAGTTGGCTCCCTGCCGTACCCTGAGTTTGACTGCTCTCCTCATGCGTCGCCAACAGAACTTACAATTTGCACGGTCGGAGAAATGAGATAAGAATCATGCTTTGGACATCGAACTTTCACGACTCTCTCGTGATCACTGTCGTTGATGTAACGAGTGAAGACCAAAACCCTGAACCCTAGAACTAATGAGATTGCGAACATCGACCTCGAGCTCTGTTTGAATTTGGAGAGGAGTCTGGGAGTATCGGGCGATTTGTAAGAGCTTATGGTACAGAGAACTTGCCTGCCACTGCGGAGTGATTGGATTTGAGAAAAGGCGAGGAGTTTTTGGTTGGATTTGATTTTGTTGTGGGGTGGAGGGAGGAAGGGAGGAAGCGGAAGTTTAGCGATGGATACGGTTTTGTTCGAAGATATTTTCACTATCGTGGGTATGGATCCGGATGGCAAGAAATGGGACAGAGTACATCGGTTCGTGGCCCACAGTGACCTGGATATGGACCTGCTTTTTGATGTGAACACGGATGTTTATCCCATGGCTCTGGAAGAGAAGTTTGCGCTCGCTTTGGCCACGACGCTGAGTCTGGATGGAACTCCGGATGATGGTTTCTTCGATCAGAGCGGCCGAAAGAGCTTGGCCGATAAGTTTGAGTATGTGATGTACGGGAAACTGTACAAGTACAGCGATGTGGACGTGAACGGAATCAGCAAGGTCGAAGTTTATATCTCCTTCGGCGGTCTTCTGATGATGCTCAAAGGGGATCCCAATCACTTGAACGCTTTTCAGGTTGATCAGCGATTATACCTTCTGATCAGGAAGGTTTAAACCTTATCGAGCGAGATCATGTCGACAAAGACGTCATGACTACCATCGAAATCCTCTGCGTCTGTTTCTAGGTGACGTTGTTACGAGTTGTCTCTAATCAGCAAAGCATCGGAGGGTTCAGAAGCATCAAAATTTGAAGCCTTCATTCGATCTTTCGGCGGTTCAGTGTACAGAGTTCTTGATTTTGGACCTAGGGTTAGGTCGTGGACGAAGGGAGCAGCTCAAGAAGAGCAAACGTTCAGGCAAAGTTCTGACCACTCACTTCGAATGTAGTGTAAACATGAGTAGCTTCCTTACTTCAGGCTTATGATCTATTCAGATCTCGGATTGCACTCATCTGCCGGTACCGAATTCATCTGTGTTTTTGACAATTTTCTTCGAAGACCAGACAATACCTCTGTGTTCGCAATTTCCGGCCCGTGCGTATCATACTTGTTCTCAGTTGGGCTACTTCGAGCATCACTCATATCTCGTATGTGGTTGGCACTCGCCAGAGTCTTTACCTTCTGAACGCTATTAGCAGCTGTACTACTTAATTTCAAGACCTTTGCTCACTTGCTTGTTTGTTCTCGAACTCCATGGTCCAGTTTTGTGCCTGGTATGGCAATTTTCACTACACCAAGCACGTATCAGATTTTCTGTGCTTGCAATGTACGGAGTTTTCGCTTGTTGTGTGTGTTCCTCCCCCGAGGAATACACACACTGCGCCGCGCGATCTATCCGAATGCGGACAATTCTCTATATCTGGATCCCCCAATTGTGTTCTCGTATACATATTAGCACTACATGACATTTCCATTTGCGGTTTTCGGATTTGAAATGTCCGCATTGGATAGATCACGTGGAGTAGTGTGTGCATGAAAACACAATTGGGGGATCTGGATATGGAGCATTCGATCTCGGGAGGACAACTCTTGAAATGAGAAATGGCCCTTTCTGCCTTCTGTGGCTTATGTAGTTTTGACGATCAGCTTCTTACCTTGTGGATTGAAGTCACAGAACACCAAGCTGACTCGAAAACTCAGTGGGACATCCCTGGTTGAAGCGTTTCGATTCCGTAACCACGCGGTGCTAGAAGTAGAGTTAAGATCCCGAAAATATCTGAGTCCGGAAAGCCATTGGGAAATCATATTAAAAGACTGTCAGTGTTGAAACGTCAGACTGCTCTGACAGGCTTCTCTCCAGGATCATGACCCCTTATTGCAAACAGGAAGTACTCGCCGTGCCCGTTCAGCTGGCGTCGGAACACTTGGTGACTGATGTATATATTTTTAATATCCATAAATTTAGAAATAAAGAAGAAGAAAACCTTTGAGCTTCACCTATCATAAAGATATATTCTACGTATGCCCACCTAGATGTACATTTCTCACTTGCAAGATTACTGTAGGTTTTCGAAGATGGAAACTTCGCCAGAAGAAGTCTGCCACATTCTTAAAGACAAAAAATCATGATCATGTGTGAAACAGAGATATTGGAGAAATGTGTGATTGATGAAGCAATATGTCTTCACTTTGAAAATGTATCTTGCTCTGTCCTCGCTCAATCCAATTGAAGGAATAGGTATCTTTAAGAATTGTAATGGAAGTTGAATAAAATGATCATTTGGCTCCGACAGTAGACATTCATGTGATGATGCTTCATCTTACGTTAAAAATTTGCATATTTGGAGGATGTAGCCACAACAATATACTTTTGTGAGTTTGAAGAGATGGCTTCTTCTTTTTAAAGAAGGCATAATCAATCAATGATCTATCACAATCTTTGTATTGGCATTGAGCATGAGCAAATATAACTAACACAATCCCTTTTACAATTATCTAGAATTTCCGCAAGAAACAACAACTTCAGTAGTAGACTTAGGGCGGGTACTAAGTAGACTAAGTAGACGGGTAGACTAAGTACTTCGTACTGGTACCCAAGTACTGGAGTCAAGTTACTCACTAGAATGAACTCCACCAAAATTTTGAAGTGTAGCTTCTAACAACTTGACTATGATGGAGGAAAAAGGTGTGCAAGTATTACATTTTCCTTCAAAAAGTGCATTTGGCTCCACTTTAATTTCTTCTTATGCTATAGCCGAGAGAAAGATGTTCTTGTTAAGGTGTTTAAGAGTGTAATAAACTATTTCAAAAACTCAAATTGTGTTATGTGGAAAAAATATGAATCTCCAAACGTTTAAACCAGTTCACCAGTTTGTATGGTATTTATTTTCATCTATTTGATGTAGAATGTGCAGGGCATTGACAGAATGAATTTTGTGGTGTTGATGTAACTCTTGAGTGGATTCAAAGTTTGGGGACCATTTCAGAAATTTTTATAATAATTTTAGGATACTTAAGGTTAAGTGAAGTGGGTACCCACTACTCATGATCATGTTAGGGGCCTAATATATAGATCGGCAGAAAGAGAATATGGACAGAAAGCAGTGATAAGTAGGAGTGCTGACGCAAATATATTGTAATTTATATAATTTATAGTTGGATAAGTGCTCTTGCAGCTAGACATGACACAAAGCTGGAAAGAGAACAAGACGATGCACATACTCTTTGGAGATTGCATTTCAAGAGCTGAGCGGGTTCCACTTGGCTCCCCGTTCGTGGCTGCTAGAAGCATTTATGGTGATCACCATGAATGATAATATAATTGAGTTTTCATAGTTTCCTTGTAAATCCATTCGTACATAGTGATAATACATTCTCTTCTAATCAGGATATCATACTATTATGAGTTTGGTACATTGTTCGACTGGATGGGTCTCCCAGATTCGTGTTATCCATTTACTTTTGTGTCATCCATTATCCAAAACCCCGCTCTAGACAATGGGACCATAAGAAAAGTTGAGATCATATATCATATAGACAGGGGCGGAGCCACAAGGGGGGGCAAGGTGGGGCATGCACCCCCCCCCCCCCCCCCCCCCCCCCCCCCCCACAAGTCCCCACAGATTGTGAGTTACAGAATGTGAAAACGAGGTCGAGAAAAAATTTTAATTGGAAATTGGCGGGTGGGGGGCGAAGGGGGGCCTACCCGCCAATTTCCAATTAAAATTTTAATTGGAAATTGGCGGGTAGGCCCCCCTTCGCCCCCCACCCCACCTGAAAAATCCTGGCTCCGCCCCTGCATATAGATGCAGTTTTTACGTCGAAGACGAAGAGGATTGTTGAGTACGAGCTTGAGTGTAGATGTCGCAGATGGTGCTGGTGGTGACCTGGTGCGTTCTCGCAGGATCGCGAAGTAATTGAAGTATGCTCTAAACGAAATGAACTATAATAATTATTACTACTACGAAATGAAGTAGCTGGACGTGGATACCTGCAAAGGCGGAGTCATTATCCAGTTCGGAAGATGGGAATGCTTGCCATGCAAACGAACGACTTCGTCCTCGCACGTAAATGTAGGAGAGGATTGCCATCTTCGCGTTGTGGCTGGCGCCCTCGCATTAGCCTGCATCTGCTTGCCCCGAGGACAGTTGTCCTCCATGTGGAGCACCAGATGTGTCTCGGCGCTCGAGCTTGCCAATGGACGAAACCTCCGAATGCCTTGCCCGAGCCTCTGTCAAGAAGGAATGCACGACTTCAGCGTATCGTCGATGAACTTTTCAGCTCGATTTCTGCAGCATCTGGCTGTGGTGAGAGAGAGAGACGGACAGAGTATGCTTGATCAGTCTCGCACAGAGAAGGAGCAGGAAGAAGAAGAATGGAAGCTTGGGCTTCGATCTTGTGTTTGCAAGGTCTAAGTTTAGTTGGCCTATATTGCACATGGGTGATCGTCGAGTGGATTTGGAGGCCATGGCGATTGGTCACCTTCTGCCGAAACCAAGGGATGAATGGGTTTCGTTTTCTTCCCGTCGTAGGGCAGCTTCCTCAAGTTTCTAAGGTGAATTCAGGCTCTTGATACAAACCTTGGAAATTCAGTCCCCGCCCATGTTTAGAAGAACTTTCCAATTCAAGAATGCTGTGGTTTGCGGATTAGTATGTCACAAGGCACCTCATTCACCTCTCGATTTCTCAACGTTGTCTCGGTTCAAAACCGGGAGAGCAAGTGATTCCAATTTCACTTTTTTCTTAGTTTCAAAATTTCTAAAATTTATTTTTTTAAACGTTTCAAAAAGTTCCATTACACCGACGAGATCATCACAAGAATTTCCAGAAATGGCGTCGATCTCATGGAACGACTTTTGTTCCTTGTACAGTACAGTCTAATGGTAGGGCTCTTGCGCAGGTACTCAATCACACTTCGGAAGGGTCTGGGCATGATTGGGAGGCACTGAGTACAGCGAGGAAGTGCGTTGAGACTCATGGCAAAGTTTTCTACTTCATGACTGGCAAAACTGTGAGAATTTGTATAACAGATCCCAATCTCATCAAAGCAGTTTTGGACACCAATGCGGATAGCTACAGCAAGCCTTCATTCATCCACGTCCTTGACATACTACGAACTGGAATTTTCGCTTCCAGCGGAGACGTTTGGCTCCCACAGCGGCAGCTATTCGGACGTTCGTTTACCTCGAAAGAAATCAAGGTCAGGATGGCAATTCTTCGATCAGACCCTTGCAACTTTCACAGCATATTAGCGATTTGATAAACTAAAATTAATTAACCAGTAAGATATGTACAATTATAAACTTATCGTGGTAAGCGATTTAGACTGATCGGATATTCATCACAAGTACTTATCTGCTTGAGACACCTTGTTGTAAAGGGCACAACGTCATCTTCTCTGCCATGCGGAAGAGAAAATCATCCGCATGGCAGAGAAACTCAGAAACTCTTGGAACCTTTTCCTGTTCTGAAGAAGAACCAGTACACTTGTAACATTGGTTCTTGTCAGTACGTATGTAGGTTTCAAGCCGTCCTTCTTTCACTCTGTAGGCCATGAATATCCCCGCAAGATTACTTCTTGCTCAGTTCATAGCCGAAAGTACATCGCGTGATTGATATTTGTCTTCCAGATCAATCATTTTTAAGGATCTCAGCCCCCACATGTACTGATCTGGGATGAGTTTCTTGTTTACAGGTGTCGTATCATTCCTGAGACTCTGCAGACATCCCAGTGGGTTAGCCAATCGTGTTAAATTTTCTGTCATGCTTTGTGAAGGTAATGAACCAAGTAAATTGTTGGAGTCATCGTTTCTTATTTGAAAGACCTTGCCTGTATCTTCAGCCGCTCAGGACTCCCTCTGCGTCACCTCGAGATGCAACATGTGTGCACGTATGTTGCATCACCAGGTTGTTCGGGTCTTCCTACCTATGTAGATGAGTACAGTCTTCTTTTTATAATAATTTATCTGGGTGAAGAACTTTCTTAGCTTTCAAAAATGCTCTTATCTGGCCCTCGGTACAGAGGAACAGCTGCTCTCGGCATCTAAGTGATGTCTATCATAGAACTGATGTAGTTGAAAGTATCTTCGGTGTTTAGTGAAGCAATACACTGAAATACCACAACCTAAATATTTTATACTCTGTCCACTCATTCTCGCCACCATTTCTTGTAACCTACCAAAGATGAATGAAAAGCAAAGGTTTTCTGATCATTAGGCCTGCAGTCTAGTTGATATTGAGATATGTGTTCACTTACATAAACTAACTGTTGTGTGGGTTTTCCTTCGTCCCAGACTGAGATAAGCTTGATCACCGAATGCACCCGAGCTGCCTTGAAGAGATGGCTGCCAGAGATCGACTCAGGATCAGGCGAACTCTCGGTTTACAAAAGGGTATCGGAACTTACTCTTGATGTAATTAAAGCGCTAGCTTTTGGGATGGACCCTCCGGGTACTGAGGACAGAACATCTTCAGAAGAAGCAGAATCTTTCAACCGCTATCTTCTAAACTGCAGAGGACTTGTGTTCGGTCGGCCTGCCTCGATTCCTGGATACAGGTGAGCTCGCCTGCTCCTTGCCTAAAATTTCACCTGAAACTCAGTGAGAAGTATCGGTCATTTCCCCATCCATCAAATTTACAGATTTTGACATCATGAATGTGTCATTTTTGTAGGTATCTCCCCACCCAGCTGAATAAAGAAGTCCTGAAGGATCAAACCTGGCTAACCGGGGTCATCGAAGACCTCATAATAGCTAGATCGAGTGAATATGTGGCCTCCTCATCAGAAGGAAGAGAGCATAAAGATATCTTGGACGTTTTGCTTACAACAACGGAGATTAGTAGTCAGCAATTGAGGGATAATGGTCTGACATTCTTGCTAGCAGGCCATCACACGACTGCAAGTCTCTTGAGTTGGACGATGTACTTGCTTGCCCTCCACCCACTGTGGCAGGAAAGAGCGAGGGCAGAGGTTGAAGAATTCTGCAGTGATGGGATAGTGGAATGGAGCACGCTGAGTCACTTCAAAACCTTGACCATGATTCTTCAGGAAACATTACGTCTCTTCCCTCCCATTCCTCTTCTGGGAAGGCTATGTGTGAAGGAAAACACAGTTGGTCCTTACGTCATACCACAAGGAGTAGAAATCATGATCCCCACTGCTGTGATCCATCGCGATAGGGAGCTCTGGGGCGATGATGCAGATCAATTTCAACCGATGAGATTCGCCAATGGACTGGGTAAAGCTTGCAAGCACATATTGGGCTACATCCCATTCGGATCCGGACCTCGGACTTGCGTGGGACAAAATCTGGCCTTAGCTGAAGCGAGAACTGTACTTGCAGCTATTTTACCAGCATTGAGTTGGAGTCTCGGACCAGGCTATTTGCATTCTCCAGACGTCTCTTTGACGTTACAACCCAAGTTCGACATTCCAATCATCATGAAGAGGCTGTCTTGATGACAAGTCCAGTCCTTTGTGAAAATGTACAATATGTAAATTCAAGTGATTGCCCGTCTTCCTTCGAGGTCCGCGTTGTGTTTTTGTCACTGACTCAAGTTTTTCAACATGTTCGGAACGCCTCTTCAGGTTTTAAAGTGTAGGGTGGATTGTAGTCGTCGGGCTTGCATGAATCCCCTGTCTCCCCTGTCTCGTAGCATTCAGTCTTCCGGCCAGTTAATTGCACGAGGTGTTTGAGCTCCGATTTAGGTGCATGACTATTCTCCAAGAATTCAGATTGGTAGCTAGATTACTAGCCAGTAAATGAGTGATTATTAAGAGCTGGTTTCGATAATGGAATTTGGTCAAGGAGTGAGATGGAATTGACCTGATCACAGAAATCCACAGATATTATCATAACCTACACTTGACTTTGGAAGTATTGGGAGAAACTAGTCCCTCCATTACTATAGTGAGAGACCCGAAGATACTTTCTAATCCAAACCGTTCCAGTGAACAGACGAGATTGAATCAAAAGTGTGATTCTATTCCCATTCGTCGAAAGTGACCGGTAGACAAAATCACTGCCTAGAAAAGGAGCGGATACTTTCGTCCCAAGAAACAAGTATTAAATCTCACCTCTAAATACTATGTTATGTTTCTTTCTCTCTTATGCTTTCTTTCCCTCTTATATGACTAGGACAAAAATCGTCTCAGAATGTCCAGAAACTATCCAGTACAATGGAACATTCCAGCTCGAGAATTGTCCTCGGCACAATCTATCAAGAGGGCAATGAGGGAATCTTCACTAATCCATTACAATGAAGGAAGAATTAAAGAAAGGAGAACTTTTCTTTCCGTCACAATGATAGTTTGCAGATGTAGATCAAACCTTAAAAAAAAGATCACTGTACTTTCAGATTGAACTTGTCCTATACATATGCCGAAGGTTATTGAAGAAAATTCTTCTATTTTAGCTTCGGAGCCGCGGTGGGTCTATGCTACAATCGCATTTTTCTACTTTTATTTTATTCATTACTTTGATAGAGTGAGCTAAATAATCATGCATTGCTATTTAGATTTGATATGATTTGATTTTCCGAAGATGGCGCATTTTATGCTTGATAATTCTCCAAAGTTGGCGCAGCCTCTTGTCGTACACACAGTACACACTATCTCCACGTGATAGTTTCCTTTCTGTCCGCATGTTCTTGACTTGAATGAAAGGAGCCATCTCCCCCATATACAGTATCTTCATCCGCCATGTGCATGTAATGGTCCAACGATTTGATCCTGGAGTGTACTTTCCACTCGCCTTCAAGATTCTCCTGGCTCACTTCCATTGAGGACTCACGTAGCGTGGTTCTGAGTTGCTGAGTTGCTTCTGGGTGAGAGAGGTCATCTCAATTAAAGTTATAGACATGGTTAGAATTTCCACAAACAACTGTGAGAGAGAGAGAGAGTGAGTGTGGGTGGGGAGTTTCAGTAGAGAGCTCTTTTGAGAGTGAATGCAAGCTATAAACACACAGACAGGAGGAGTGAGTGAGTACAGTCGAGGAGTCGTCTCGTGGTCCGTGTCCTCAGGTTGCGTGTCATATCTGATGTGAAGTTCCCCATTCGTATCATGGATGACGTGAGGAAGGAGAACACTCACGTTATCAGATGCCGAACGTTCGCTCAGAGTATGCCGTCTCGCTTCCGTCTGAAGTCCACCTTCTCTGCTCTGCTCCGCATGGAACGAGAAAGCGGAATCTCCACTGTTTCAGTTCCGTGAGATGGGCGACTGCTGCATGTGACTCGAGCTGAATGCTCAGCTTCCCGTGCTGGAGATGTGGCATGGCTTGATCAAATTGATGACCAAACGAGACAGTTCATCTCAAAATCTACCTAACATGGGCAAAAGTATTTGGCCATGGCCATGTATTTAGCTGTTTCAACAAATCAATCTTGGATGACAACGATGACTTGTGGCCAGTTTTCAAGCAGCTGCTGTCCAACACGAAGGCCTCGCAAGAAAATCTTAAGCGAAGTCTTAGTGCAGAAAAACCATAGCAGTTTTTTGCACTAGGACAAGTAGGCCAAAGAAAGTGATATCCACTTTGCTGAATATGGTAGTCTCTCGAGCACTCTCCGTCAGAAAATCTCAAAAAATGTATCTACAGCTACTTAGTTGCTAGATTAACTAGAGGTGAGCTCCCTACATGAACACTTGGTCCTTGTAGTCACACTCGCCACTCATTGGAGATTGTGTATAGCCATCTACTTTTAAAACTCTAACATGTGTGGAATCAAGTTATGCCTGGCTAGAAAGAATCAAGTAAAGAGTTTTGTCCTGATCCTAGTAAACTAGAATAAACAACAACATTAGTTCCAAATAAAATATCTATACCGAGATAATGGATAGACATATTTCAAACTGGTTTCTATCTAGTGATATGGTTTTATTTTTTTTCTTCTTCTTCATGGAAAGAGTAATTGCATGGATCACTATCTCATGTTCTACATCATGAGCGCCAATGAAGTTAGACGATGTATGTAACGGAGTGCAATAAGTGATGGAGAGAAGCTGGGTTTAAGATGCCCGCTTATTTTTAAACGCAGAGCCTTACATTCCTCGTGAAAATCGCGAGAGCATTGACATGGAGCACTCAATTATTGCCGGCACGTTCTGAAACAAGTCAAACATTTAGGAAAACAGAACCCAATGATAAATATGCTGTGAACGTGAGGTAGCCTCAGGTTCAAATCGAGAAATATTAAACAGAATGTAAGCCAGAAAAATCCTCTGTGACTAAATCTCTGCGGGAAGTCTTTGGTGCTACAGGACCAGATATTTTTTATTGAATTTAGAGGGCTCATTCTCCAAAGCGGAAATTCAAGAAATGGGAAGTGCGAATCGGACCTTCTTCGTGACCCGGTGACCCGGTGACTCCGAGCGCCGGTCATGCCATCACGAGTGAGCAACGTCGGCCCGCAGTCAACAATGCGCCACGTGTCATCGTCGATACGGATCGAGGCACGAACACAGGGAACACAGCGCTGCTGTTTGCAGAGAACGCAGTAGGGGGCGACGGTGCGACCACGGTCGATGCCGGCGTGGTCACGTGTACGATTCGGAGCCGCGGAAAAGGGCAGCGTCGCGGGCAGGGCAAGTTCAGGCCGGAGTGGCGAGGCGACCAATTCCGCGACTCTGAGAGCGAGCGGGGCAGAGGGATTTTAGCCTCAATTCTCTGATAAGGTTGGCGGGCTTTCGGGCTTCTGGCGGCCTGTTGGATTCCGGCACCGGACGAAGCTCGCTCGATTCGCTCGGCGCATTATGCGGTGCGGTGCCGCAAAGCTCCGAGACTTTCCGCTTGCGCCTGCGTGCGGGACGATGTTGTCGAGGAGGCTGTAGGGGAGCAGTCGGAGGACGAGGGCGAGGATCAGCTGCAGCAGCAGAGCCGAGCAGAGCAGAGGACGGGAGCAATTCGGAGGTTTTGCTCGTGGATTGACAGTGTGGTTTGTCAAGATGCAAGGCTCGCTGTGTCTGCAATGTGGGCATGCGAGAGTTGTGGAGTCCTCCGTGCTTTCTAGTGGTCCTGCCGCTGCGGCTTCCGCCCAGAAGAATCAGCCGAAGGCGAATGCTGTTGGCTTTCGAGGGAGCGAATTTTGTGCTTCTCAGACTTCGTCGTTCAATGGGAAATTACGCGCTGCCTCTCGACGCCGACAATACTCGCCTCTCAAGGTCTCTTTTGATTCCGAATGCTTATCCTCTATGAGAAGAGGATTTCGAAATTCTATTTTTATGGACCTGTGAACTCAGCCAGGGTCTTGGAAACGGGGAGATGAAGTAGCTCACGAGGAGGATGGAAATTAGAGGGAAATAGTGAATCGTTCTTGAGGTCGGAAACGTTTTTCTCAGGGACGCAAATTCCTCTTTCGAATTCTATGAGGAACACCAAATTTGGACAGGAGGTGTAACGCTGAGCTTTCGTTTCTTCAATTCCTGTGCAGGTTGAGGCCGTAGATTATCCCAGGCCGGATATTGACGGAACCGTGAATTACTTAGAAGCCGCCGCTCTTTCTGCCTACCTCGGCACAGCTAAAAGACCTGAGAAGCCCTTGAAAGTCGTCATTGCAGGCGCAGGTATGCAAGTTCAATTCATCGAAGTTACTGTGGTAATGTGACTGGGTAGTGATACTCCTTAGATCGTCATTCGGAGAGTCAGAACCACGAAATTACCACGAAATCACTCAACGTCACTCATATGTCAGAGACTCGTTCTGGCTGGGCAATACCTTTGTTTGCTTTTCGGAATTCTCATACACGAACTAATGTTTCAAAACTTCAAAATTATCTCTCAGGCATCTGGGGGCAGCGATATGTCGTAGGCGACCATTGTTTAGAAAATCCTAGACTTTCCTTTCTGGAATGAACAAACACGCCCGGAGATGAAAGTAGCAAACTGGTTTTACTGGCCTCATTCCCCAACATCCTGAGCTCACAGTCTTTGTACTCCTTTCGTGCATATCATTCCCGAATTGCAGGCGGAAGGGAAATACATGTCTAGCTCGGCTTAACACGATTATGTTCCCTTCAACCCTTGTCAACGTCTTCCTTAGTTATTGTTTAGTTTTGACAGAATTTGAAAAAAAGCAGCTTGAATGCCTTAAATTAAGCAATCCGGCACACTTGGGAAGTAGACATTCGGTCACTAGACCTTGGTCACCTTGATTCACCATTTCGGTTCTACCATTTTTTTAGACATTCTTTCTTTAAGACAAGATTCGGAGGGTCCGACGCCTCAGAGGTTTTACCCCACTTTGGTTCTTTTTATATACAGAACGCGGGAGATTGCATGATAATTTTGTGTAGTTGGTTTCTATTGCTGTTGACGTCCGTGGTTCTAGCCATGACCAAAGACTCTAGTTCCAAATCTCTCTTACGTTTTATTGAGATACCCGTTTCGATTATGCATATGCAGAGTTTTTAACTCCGCATATGCAAATCTACTTGAGCAGTATACTGTATCCTGATCCAATTCTACTGCAGGTCAGCAAACCATCTGACGTGAAACTAACCTCTTAGCATGAACCATTGGCAAGTTTAGTCCTCTCCCTCAATTGCTGGACATGAGAGTTCTGAAAATTTTTTTGAGGAGAATTTTTCTTTCGTTTCCCTGATTGGACGTGATGTCTGCCCTGTTTGGACTCAATAGTTCTCCATTGTTGCACTTTTAGATCTGTCCACGAAGAATAGCCGTTGTTGTTTCTGCTCTTTAGATGTTCCAAAGATATCGGAGTTATCTTACGATGCTGAGATGCGATATCCGTTGTTCCCAGGCAAAGCCGGTTGTGAATTCTTTGTGAGGTATCTTGAATTAATCTCACTCCAAATTTACTTCATTCGATTTGCAGGGTTAGCAGGTTTATGCACCGCCAAGTACCTTGCAGATGCAGGTCACATTCCTATCCTCCTGGAAGCTCGCGATGTACTGGGTGGAAAGGTAAACAAATTGAACTCGTACTGTCTACATGGTATGAAAATCGTTTTCTTGTCATTCGAGTTCACTCTTGGAAAGAGGACGATAAGAATTGTGTGTGGAGAAGTACTCATGTCAAGGCACTGGTTCTACCTCATCACTTCCAGTGCTCGATTTGTATGTATGACAGCTATGAGCTTGGAGTTAGCATCATAAAACCGTCTGAGTCTATTTCTCCATGGATTTGCAATCACTACGAGAATCACAAGCTATAAGTAGCTCGGTCTTGTTATGGGCATCATGAGAATGAGTTGATGTGGCTGCTTGCTATCTGAGCTCTTTGATATTCCTGAACAAGTCGGTTGAGGCCAAAAGCAAAAGTGCACTAGCATGGAACGGATCAATTCGTTGCTGATTTTGTTTACTATGCCTTAGGTCGCTGCCTGGAAAGATGCCGATGGTGATTGGTACGAGACTGGCCTGCACATCTTTTGTAAGACTCGTTAAACTTGCCTTTTTTAAAAGAAGACCAACACTAGGCAGGGTTCTCTGAAGGAGCAGTGTGAGTAGAGTCCTCATCGCAAATTACTCGAGTAGGTTGCATTAGCCAGCCACAGACCGACGGTGACTTTGAGCATTTGTGGCACTCATATTAACACTAATCGTCACTTTGGCATCCCTCCAGTCGGTGCGTATCCAAATATGCAGAATCTATTTGGAGAACTTGGAATCAACGACAGGCTGCAGTGGAAGGAACATTCTATGATATTTGCTATGCCAGACAAGCCCGGAGAGTTCAGCCGTTTTGATTTCCCGGACGTACTTCCTGCTCCTTTGAATGGTATGTTCATCATATGTAAATATACCCTCTATGCGGATTTTACTCTGTTCTTGATTCTGTACTGCAGTTGATGTAGTTTCCACCACTAAGCATAGCCACGTTGGCCCAGATGTATGCGTAGAATCACCTTGATAGTTTTGACATCCAGTATGACAGTAAATGTATTTCTGCTGAATCTCAGTATGCACATATTTCTTGTACCAGGTGTGTGGGCCATTCTCAAGAACAACGAAATGCTTTCTTGGGAGGAAAAAATCAGGTTTGCTATTGGTCTTCTACCTGCAATCGTTGGTGGTCAAAACTATGTGGAGGCCATGGACAAGTACACCGTGAAAGAGTGGATGGCCAAGCAGGTACTTGGATTTCTGATCCTCCTTTCTTTATCCGTTTTAAAGTGGAGAAGTCGAAGGGTTGCTGATAAGCAACCTAAATGGCATGTAGTCCTCCACGTACTATTTCAGGAAGAGACTTTCTTTCCGCTGCTCATTCTCTTTGTGGGCATCAACAGGGAGTTCCACAGCGAGTAAACGATGAGGTGTTCATCGCGATGTCGAAAGCCCTTAACTTCATCGACCCCGATGATCTTTCCATGCAATGTGTGCTTATTGCTCTGAACAGATTTTTGCAGGTATGGTCCTTCTACCCCTCGGTCGTACTTTTGAACTTGGAGCTATTCTTAGTTTTGTTTCTGTTTATCTGGTTGTGTGTTCAGTCTTCATCGATTGTTTTCCGAAGGTGATGAATACACGTTCACAGTTCGAGTATTCATGTTGGGTGGCCGCCCGCGAGAATCGTTTCTCGGCGTACAGTGCCCAACACCACCATGTAGTCTTATGCCTTCATTTGTCGTATTTTATTACAACAGGATTTTGTTATTGTTTCAGGAGACACATGGATCGAAGATGGCTTTTCTAGACGGAGCACCGCCAGAGAGATTGTGTAAGCCAATTGTGGACCATTTTTCTGCCCTTGGTGGCGAAGTGCGCTTGAATTCTCGTCTTCAAAAGTTTGTGTTGAATGAAGATGGAACTGTGAAGCACTTCCAACTGCAAGACGGCACAATCGTGGAAGGAGATGTTTACGTTTCATCCATGCCTGGTATGTTACCCACTGTAATATCTCAATTGACCATCATAGCTTTAGGCCGGCCGTAGAGTGGTGTGGCCTACTGTAAGCTCTAACTTCGTACCTAAGAATATGTCGGATTGAAAAAAAAATTTGTCATATAGGAGTCATATCCTCTATCTTGTTATGAAGCCCCACTATCAAGCTCACTATTATTGTGATCCAGTCCGCATTGTCGTGTGTATGGCAGGCATGCATATGAAGTCTTACTTCTGCACTAACTAAGTCACCCCCATCATATCTGTAAATATGCAGTGGACGTTTTCAAGCTGCTTATTCCAGACCAGTGGGCAAACATTCCATATTACAGAAAGCTCGACAAACTTGTTGGAGTACCTGTTATTAACGTGCACATATGGTACGGATTCTTATCATAACTCTCAAGTTAGCTCTTTTTCTGCTCCGTGTTTCTTTTGTAGTACGAAGAATTTGAACCAGGATATCCTTTCTTTGAAGGTTTTGGAAATGCTTGAGATGAGGTTAATTATCAAACATAGATGTGAAGTACGCTTAGACATACACACTTTGTCCACACGATTATATGGATCTCTTTCGCTTCACAAATGTCATGGCGCCCTGTCCTGTATATTCTTCTTCATGTCCTCTCCTGTAGGAAATTTGGTGTTAAGGTTTTTTTTTCAAGCACACGTGCTTTCCTCTCATATTCTCCTCTCATGTCTGTCTCGTTCAAAGCATGGTTCTTTGCGGCGTGCTAGTACTGTATACGAGGATGAGTACATGTTTTCATATCAAAGACTATTTACCTTGCTCTGTCTCCACTACAGCGTCAATCACCACCAGATGTAATAACCTTAGCCTTCACGTCTCACTTTCAGAACTTGGCTAGGAACCTACATATTCTTGCTACAATCAGCCTTCACAAACACTCGGACCAGACGATAGGCTTCACTGCATAATCTTGTATTGTAGATTCTTTGAATTGTTCTGAGGTCGCGTGTGTGTCTTTCTCAGGTTCGACAGGAAGTTGAAAAACACTTACGACCACTTGCTTTTCAGCAGGTGAGATTGTTATCTTATCGCACGTGGTATCTTGTGGAGAGTTGGACGAACCTATGTCAGTTTCAATGATGTCCCGGGCAGCTTGCTTCCTGTCAGTTTCTGACGAATTGGCTTTGCTCCTGCAGAAGTCCACTCCTAAGTGTTTATGCCGATATGTCAACGACGTGCAAGGTGAGCTTTATGTCCTGTTCTGATACATCTGAACTCTCCCCGTCGAAACAGTGCAAGTTACTGCATAGCGGTGCTCGTTTCTATCGGGAATCGCAATGTGTTGTCAAAACTATCTTAGTCACTGCAGATTCACAGGATAGTTTCATTTTTACATGTCTAATGTTCTTTTCTGGGTTACGAACACGAGACTGTGTTTTACTCTTATAGGCGACGTTGAGACCCACTCTTATATGAGTATCGTTAACCTGAGTCAGTTGGTAGTGGTTTTGAGGATCTTTCATTCGGACTCCCATTGTGAGGAGTACATCAAAAATCTGAAGTTCGCATCGTAGACTTTATCGTGATAACGAAATAATTCTGATGAACCGTTTGTGCATCAATGCAGGAATATTATGATCCAAACAAGTCCATGTTAGAGCTAGTATTTGCACCTGCCGATGAATGGATCGGTCGTTCAGACGCAGATATCATTGATGCTACAATGAAGGAATTGGCAACTCTCTTCCCGGATGAAATAGCAGCGGATCAAAGCAAAGCCAAAATTCTGAAGTACCACGTCGTCAAAACCCCAAGGTTTGTCAAGCCTCTAAATTTTTATCAATTCTACCAGTTATTGTTGGTCAAAGTAATGTTGTAGATGTCTACATTAGTGAATCTACGAAGCTTTGACAGCAAAGGATGTACCTAGCTCAGTAGAGATTTGTTGTTTGACGGAGCGGCTGTCACTGTCCCTGTGATTATCCCAAGTTTTTGCCGAAGGCTTGAGCTGATTTACTTCCTCCTGAACCCTTCCTCTTCAGCCTCTGGCGATGAAAGGAAAATCCGTTACATTATTGAACTGAGCATACAGCCTCAAGTTGTCCCTCGTCCAAACGCGATCTGTTGATTAATTCAGATTTTTTTCATGATGCAGATCCGTTTACAAGACGATACCCAATTGTGAACCCTGCCGGCCTTCCCAACGGTCTCCAATCCCACGATTCTACATGTCTGGTGACTTCACGAAACAAAAGTATCTTGCATCTATGGAGGGTGCTGTTCTGTCGGGGAAACTCTGTGCCCAAGCTATTGTACAGGTAAGTTTGTCAATATTTCAATTGAGTTATCGACTCATTTCTTGCGAGAGTAGTTTCTGCCCGTAATGGCAGTTATTTCTTATCTCATGTTTTTGTAAATGTCGTCATTGCCTTTTGACAGGATTACGAGAAACTAGCTTCACCGACTCCCAGTCTGGAGAAGCAGAAAACTCTGGTCTAGTGCACTGAGGTTAGTACATTGTAAAAGTGGGTCAAATTCAGGGCCAAGAGATTTCGCCGATGTAATTTAGTCAGTATTGATCATCCTGAGTAGTGACGATCAAATAACGGAAGTTACGTCCATCTCACAAAAGATCTGATGGATACCGGGACAGGCTGAGATCATCATCTGTAAAATGCCTACTGAATTAGTTCTAGTGGAGGGTCTCCAGTTATTGTGTAGAATAATCATTGTTTAGAAACCATTCGATTAAAGGAAAAGGAAAAGATTTTTGACTTGTCACGCAATTGCTGCCATTGTCTTCGCGACCTTTTTGATGCTACGGACAACCGAGATTCGATGTGCACCCGGAGCCTCAGCCGAGAGGTTGTCATTGTGATCTCTGTGATTCCCGAGTTCATCGATGTCGAAGTGATCTGAGCTTTATCTCTTGCTCACTGCTGACCGGTTCACAAACTATCGTCACAACTTGAAGCTCCAAATGGTCTGGGAAGAGTTCAACGAGTATCTTTTTCTCCAAATGACCATACACACGTCATTAAACGTCTGATCAGTGATCTTGAAACGCCATCCTGGCACTCTCAAAATTAAAGCCTACTGATATACTCGGTTGCATGTTCGCATTTTGCACGTGAAATGTTGTACACGTATTCTCGAGCATGTCGGGCGGGTTGAGCGGGATCTTACGAAATACAATGTCTTTTCTCAGTGTTCGTTTCTTGGTGGAAAGACTCTAGCGAAATGCAAGTCAATTGCCTGAGGATGCTGATTTGTCAAGCCTCTAACTGTCACCAGCTACATCGAACTACGACTAAGGCTCCCTCGCGAAACTGGTCAAAACCTGGTGACGGCAGGTCTCATCCCACTCTACAACGGGTAAATTCTGAACGAAGGAAATTTTGCAACTGGCCCTGTTGAAATGCCTGCAGATGCTGTAACTGGACATTTCTCCATATAGGCCGGAATTTATGTTTGAGCTCTGTGGCCAACATGCATTGGCTCAAAACAGAAACCTCTCACACTTCACCGGTCAGAGGTCAGCAGATACGTTTGAGTCAATTAATCAGCTTGAATGACCAGACATCAGCACTGTTTACGCCCGGTGCAGTCCACTGTATCAAATTGGCAGATCCGAACGAATGCCAAACTTCATTTCAACGATCGAAAGGCGGTCCATGCGACAATTCTCACTGTGGCATGCAAATGGCCAGAAGGCCAGAACTCGAAGGATGAATTGTACATCATCAAGTTCAAATCTGCTTAGAATTAAGAACTGTCTAAGCAAGGTGGCACGCTCAATATCATAGCCGATCTTCAGTTGGAGTCTCTCATTCGACAACAGTCTTTGTAGTCAGAAAACAAACCGTCAAAGTTTTTACAATGGCGGTCTGTTTCCTGTCCAGTATATATGTAACGACTGCATTGCCAATGATCACTGTACTTCATTGGGGCCTTGATCTGACGAACCCCTCACATTGCTGGTCGAAAGTAGTGTCTAGGACTTGGAGCCCAGTTACTCTATTCACGACTTTGCTCGTTCTGAATCTGAATAGTGCATCTGACCTTCAAACTGGTGCGCAAGGAGGCCACAATTCACAAAATTCCAGACTTGAGAGGCTCCCAAACCCTCCCAACAACTCACAGCACCTCCAGCGAGGGCAAGGACAATAACCGTCTATCACACCTTCTTGACTTGCACAAGGAGGTAGAGCATCGTCTGGCTGCGACATCATGCAGTAAAATATCTTTCCAAACTCCGAAACTGATATGCAGCTTCGCACATGCGAAGGAAACCTGTGATTTCCATCCAGGCTGGTCAGGGAGGGGTTTCCTTTTCAGCTTACTCATCCACCTTATCCAAGCTCCATCCCGGTGCAATATGAGCTCCGTCACAGGGGAGAGTGGCCACTTCATGGGATGGGCTTCCAAACTGCCTCAGACGGCCAAAGACTCATCAACCGCAACCGCCTTAAATGCCATCGACCCACCAGCCTCCAATATCCGAGATCGTCATCCGAGATCTCCAATATCCCCCCAGGGAGGTACACACACTCTCTCTCTCACTCACTCACTCGACCTCATTTACTTACTTCGACGAAACAGATCCTGGAATCTTTGCTGATTTCCGCGTGAATAGAACTTTTGGCCGCCTGATGGATCATCATCGGTAGTGTCCATGAGCAGCAGCAGCAACTGCCACTGCCGTTTGAGCTCTAAGGCACCGTTACCCACCCCGCCTCCCCTCCACCAGCACTGATGCTCCTGCTGCTGCTGCTGCACAGCTACGCAGCTACACTACTGTAGTCATGCGGCCAGTACAGTGCAGTAGTGCTTCCTACTCCTGTGAGCCCCATTTAAGAGATCTCCCCTTCCCTCGTGTGGCTGCCGACAACATTTAAGCTCGCACACTCCCCCTCGACCAGCTGAAAAGCCATGTTTCAATGTGTGTTTCAATAAGCGAGCTCATACAGTATACATGTCCTCATCTCTTCCCACCCACCGTCTCGACGCAAGGCGTTGGCGTACGAGCTGCCTCGTAAGGGAACTCGTTCGGTTGAGGACAGAATCTCACACGAGGCAGAGAGAGTGCACTGCTTTTCGTGTGGAGTTGTGTTTGATTGGGAAAGGAGAAGGAGCACCTCTGCACTCACTCCTCCAGCTGGGATGATGTGGGGATGGTTGGTTTCATGGCGTTTAGGGTGGGAGAACGGGACCAGATCTCGGGTGCAGAAGGATGATGGTCATGTATAGAGAGCACTGTGACAGGCAGGAAGGAATTTGAGAGTTTTGTCAATTTCGAAAAAACGGTTCGTGTTGAGGTCAAACTCCAGGTCGATGTGTACCACAGTTTCAAAACCACGTGTGAAGTGCATGACGAGTGACAGCTTACGGCTGCATCGATCGGCTGCTGGTACAGATGGTAGTACCATCTGCGCTTCCTGTGGGCTTCTGTACCCACCACTCCAAAGCTCACCCGAATGTGACGACCGTGTTCCCAGAGTCTCCAAGTTTTTGTTTCAAAATTGTCAATTTTCCACAATTACGGAAGACAGCTTGACTGGAGCCATGATATCAATTATGCAAGCACAGATCAAGTTCTTAAAAGCCTCACTGATTTTGCGAAACCACTCATTCAATTTCTATTCATGCCCTTTCTATTCATGTATTCTATTCATTTTTGGCATCATGCGCCTCACTCCAAACTTGGATTTGTGAGGTCGAAAGAAAGCCCAACGGGACTGACGTGAATGTCAGATTCATATCTGACCCTCGTCCATGAATCTTTAACTGTAACTCCGAGAAATTTTAGAAGACGGAAAGTTTCCTTAAGATTGACAGATGATGATGATGCCTATGATGAATTTGAGGTCAGGCGATATCCGATCCATATAATACTGTGTCATGTGAATGCACAGAGTGCGATCTTCAAATACTTGTCACTCACCGATGAAATCTCGCCATAAATGTTCGTGAATGATCATGAGCATTTGATCTCATGCTGTGACTTGATCAAAGCCTTCTTCTGAACCAGGTTGAGACACACTGCAATCAATAACTGAAACTCGACTCGGGGACGAGTAGAGTGAATCATGAAATGTTGTGGGTTCATGTCAGACTGAAGAAACCTGTAAATTCCATTTAGTAGTCACAGCCCAATAAATGTATTAACGAACCATCTGCCATTTTCTATTTTATGTCCAGAAATACAAGCAGCATTCTGTAGTCAGGATAATGCGACGGCACAATGATCATCCTTTCAAGTATTTTTATTTTTTTGCGGTCTGGATCTGGGCTTTCATAAATGATCAGCATTACCTTTTATTTATTTCTCATTCTTTCCGCAGGGATGGGATAGGATCCGCCTTCATGGTGAATCCAACAACGTGTGACTCTTCTCAGGACGAGCTGTGTACTCAGGAAGAGTGGATCCATAACTTCATTTCCTACGAGATCAATCGGCTTCAAATTGGCTCAAAGGTTCTCTCAACCATTTCATAACCTAGAATATTCCATCTGCTTAAGATTCGGTAGATCTTCCAGCTAAAGGCGAGGAGGCAAATAAAATCTGACCGTGTTTTGTAAGTTAAGGCGTCCGATCGATTTTCGTTACTTTGGTATGGTGTGCTTTTCCAATCATTCAAAATTGTCAGTGTGCAATTTATATGGTATCGATTTCCAGTTTTAGCCAACTCTGTTGCAATTATGCTGGCCAATAAATTAATCCTTGAACAAGTTGCAAAACATATTTTTCTATCTCCAATAAAATTATAGTTGGAAACACAGCCTTTTAATATAGTGCACTTCAACTCACCGAGTGGTACACCTTTCCCTCCGAGCATATCGATATCTAAAAAGTTCACAAAATTTCTATATAATAACAAGTACCCAGCAAGTGATGGAAAACAATTCCAATTTTCTAGATGCGCTTTTGCCAAAGAAGCTTTATATCACTGACTCTAAATGCTTCATTAATGGTTCTAGAAAATTCCAACTGCTCCAACTTGATTTTGTTTCGATTGAACTAAATGTATGTTCCTCTTCCGTATTGCTCCTTGCTGTATAGAGGCATGCTCTACACCGGCTTATACTCAACATGACATTCTGCAATGCCATATGATGTTAAATCAAAGTTTTGAACCCAATTTCTTTATTTTCCAAGTTTTTTTAAGTGTGTTGTGTGAACCAAAGCGTTCAAAAATTCGAACAAGCAGACATTAAAAGCTTATTTCATACGTGCATAACATATATGAAATTTTCTAGCTGTGGAAACTATGCCTCCATTTGCACATACTCGATACTGGTATCCAATTTTTATTTCTTATTTTAGTGCTGTTCCATTGTAACCCAAATACATGCTCACCAATTGAGAAGCAGCTAATTTTTATCTCCAGTTCAAAGCTCTGTAGCCGGTCTACCCACGTGGCTTCACACGATCTTGTTCATTCTGGTTTCTAATATAAATTTGGACTGCGTTCATACATGGACAACATATTTCAGCAATTTAGTTATGCCATTCCATTCTATATTGCGAATATTAATGATAGACACTATGATTATGATAGTCATCATCAGATTAGTTATACACTCCAATTCCTGTCACGGATAGATTATATATATATATATATATATATATACACAAAATAGAAGAGGGATGACAAACAAATCGTCACTGCAGTGTGGCAAGGTCTAGCATATGGTTCATTACTTAAAGAAAATTTAAATCTAGGCCCATGAACAACTTCAAATCTAGTAAATGAAATGTTATATATCTCTATATAAGTTGT